TCATTTGCTAACTGATTAGTAAATATATTGTCTATTAGTGTTGACGTGTCCGTGGTAATTCTGGTTGGCTGATTAATAAGGGGGAAAAGAGTGTTGCTGTACATAGTATTAATAAAGTCTGAGGTTTTCATGTTTTTCTGAGAGTTAAGAAGATTGATATTAAAGTCACCACACACAATATGGACCTTGTTTGAATTACTCATACTAAAGAGGGTGTCAATATTCTTGTTGAAATTATCTAGACATGATCTGGGTGTTCTGTACACACAACTAACTACAATATTTTTTGACCTTTCTACAATAATTTCACATGTTATACATTCCAAAACATCATCAATAGTGGTTGACTTACCACCAATCTTTTCACATCTCAGGTTTGTATCTATGTAAAGTGCAATGCCTCCACCCCTTTTATTAATCCGATTGACGGTGAACAGTTCATATCCATCTAATTCTACTTCAAAGCTATCTCCATCAAGCCAAGTCTCAGACACAGCTATGACACTGAATTTTCTAAATTGGCTAAGGTAATATTTAATGTCGTTAAATGTTTTTTCAAACTCCTGCTATTGAAGTGAATAATGCTAAAGGATCCATTCCTATTAATGCTTTTAAATTGTTCATCAGTATAGACATCGCAATCATTCATTATATTGTTAAACAAATGCGTGTCTGGATCTATGTCACAGCCAAACTCATTTGTTTTGTAATTCATTTCATCACTCAGATTAATGTGTCTTCACCACCATTCATAAATCCTGCATCGTTGTTGTCAGCTTCAGATTCACTCAATTCATCCTCACTGACATACATTTGTTTTTTGTTTTGTCATACACACTCATTCTTCCCAAAAACGCATACCTTAGTACATTATTAGACAGGGAATCACTCACGCACACTAAGCATCCATACACACACACGTACGCAAGGCACACACACGCACAGCATACACATGCACATTTATGCAACAAACAAATAATCCCACACACGCGCAAACCCAGCACACAGTCGGACCCACGCCGAATACTACAGTCTACAAGGTGATGTCCCGTACAGACAATCCCCGTCCAGAGAATAGTCCCCGTGTCCCCAGTCCGCTCAGGTCCAGAGTCCAAAGTCCTAGTGATCGAAATATCCACATCCACTTGATGAGTCCACTGAATATTAATCGCGTAACCACCGAGAGAAGGAAAGAGGCGCTCAGTCATTTTATATTGAAAAATAAGTTAAAAAATGTCCCAAACTTGAATACTCCATCCATAGCGATCCATATACGTTACGTTTATTAATCCTCAATCCAACAGAAACAAGTCCTTCAGTCCCTTGTTTACTTCGTACATTATTTCTCCCGTGGGCATCCGCTAGGTAACTAAATAATATTGATAATAAAAATGAGGCTAAATATCTCCTGTACGCATCCATGTCCTCCCATCTGCAAACATTGTCCCTCCCATTCAAACTTGGACTTAACTTCCCTCGGATAGTGTCAAGAATACTCAGTGGAATTGACAACATTATTTGAATTGGTCAAGGTCTTTCATTTCTCTTACCAGTATGACTTTAGCTTGTTCCGGAGTGTGGCCATTGAGCTGGATAAATACCTTACAATTCTTGGTCCATGTAGCTTTGATTTTCCCGTTTTTTCTCAGGATACGTGCTTCCCTGGCAATTCCAGCCGTTTTCTTGGTAAGATGATCATTCAGATACACAGATGTTCCTTTTAGCTTCTTCCCTTGTCGCATGAGCTCGGTTTTATCTTTGCGGTTTCCAAAGCGCATGATGATAGCTGGATTGGTCTTGTCCTTCCGTGGCAAAGTGTGGCACGCCGAGATGGTGTTCGGATTCAGATAAATATCCTTTTGTGCCAGAAAGTTCACAACTTGCGCTTCCAGCGTTTGCAAATCCTCGGCGTTGGCATCCTCAGTAGTACTGCTGCCTTCCGTAGCTACTCTTGCATAAGAGCGAGGCTTGACGGTAAGGCCTGTAATAATTACATCTTCCATCCTGGTGTACTGCTCGAGGTTGTCGATCCTGTTCTCAAGCTCTTCGATGGTTTTGTCTCTTTCTCTTACGATGTTTTTAAGTTGTTTCACTTCTTCGAAAAGTTCCGCCAGCTTGGTCAGCTGTTGCGTCACTTTCGTGAGCTCCCCAGACATAAAGTTTAGAGACTCACGGATATCCTCCAGATCATTATCCATCTTTGCCTCCGCTGCTGATTTCTTCGGAGCCATTGCTCACTTGCTATTTGTTTCTCACTTACACTACAGATAAGAAACAAAGGTTTATTTGGCACTAAGACTGCAGCGTTTCACAGGGCGCAGCCATCTTCTTGTAGTTTGAAAGTTATTGAAAGTAATTTTAATTAACCTCCAAAATTGAGACATCATTTAAAGTCAAGACCACTTCCCGCTTTTGTTTTGTGCGCAATCAATCAAAGCCAACAGCACCGCGATCAAACGAGGCCTGAAATCGCATTACGGCCACAATCACATCAACTTGAGTGGGCGACTTTTTCTTTTTCAGCTGGAGAAAAATAACGACGTTGGCACAGCTTCCGAGACTACATTTGATTTGAATTTTCCAAAATGTCTGCCAAAATGTCTCTTCCACTTTGGAGGTCACCCGCTCGTTGTTTTGGCGCGTTCCAAAGCTCTCGTAATCAGTCTCCTCCATCATCTTTGAGCTGCTGCGTGGATGGAAGTGGGCTGGGACCCGGAGCTGGGGTTATGTGACTGTGGCCCGAGCGTTCATCAGAGCGGATCCAGAGAGACTTCTCCTCCCCCGGATCACGTGTGAGGGTGTCTCAGTCTTCCACTGAAGGAGCTCCTCAGCTCCTCTACAGTCCTGTGCAGTGGGTGGGAGGTATTGTTCATGATGGAGGTGACTTTGACTAGCACCCTCCTGTCCCTCACCTCCTCCACAGAGTCCAGGGGCCTCCTGTCCCTCACCTCCTCCACAGAGTCCAGGGGCCTCCTGTCCCTCACCTCCTCCACAGAGTCCAGGGAGCAGCCCAGAGTGGAGCTGGCCCTCCTGACCAGCTTGTTCAGTCTGTTTCTGTCCCGCTCTGTGCTGCCCGGGGCCCAGCACACGGCAGCGTAGTAAATGGCAGAAGCTACCACAAGCTATGACAGAGTCATAAAAAGTCCTGAGCAGAGGTCTGCTCACTCCGAAGGACCGCAGCCTCCTCAGAAGGAAGAGGCGACTTTGGCCCTTCTTGTACAGGGCATTGGTGTTATGGGACCAGTCCAGTTTATTGATAATGTGAACACAGGTACTTGAAGCTGTCCTCCCCCTGGATGTTCATCAGTGTGTGGGAAAGTTGTTGTTCTCCTGAAGTCGATTATCAGCTCCTTGGTCTTACTGGTGTTCAAGCACAAGTGGTTGCGCTCACACCAGTCGACAAAGTCTGTGATAACCGACCGATATTCCAGTTCGTTCCCCTCAGACACACAGCCCACGATGGCGGAGTCGTCTGAGAACTTCTGCAAGTGACAGCTGTGTGTGTCGTGTGTGAAGTCTGAAGTGTAGATGGTGAAGAGAAACGGTGAGAGGACAGTGCCCTGAGGGGCCCCAGTGCTGCAGACTACCACCTCAGACTCACAGCTGCGCAGCCGCACGTACTGTGGTCGGTCTGAGAGGTAGTTGATGGTCCATGCAGTGAGGCTACTGTCCACTCCCGCGTCCTCCATCTTCCCCTGCAGCAGTGCCGGTCTGATGGTATTGAAAGCGCTGGAGAAGTCGAAAAACATGACCCTCACAGCGCTCCCGGCGGGCTCCAGGTGGGAGAGCGTCCGCTGCAGGAAGTAGATGACGGCGTCCTCTACTCCGATGTTGGGTCTGTAGGCGAACTGCAGCGGGTCCAGGGTGGGGCTGACCACGGTCGGAGATGGGTGAGGATGAGCCGCTCCAGGGTCTTCATCAGGTGGGAGGTCAGTGCGACTGGTCTGTAGTGAGCCGGTTCCTTGGCGTGAGCTATTTTAGGAACCGGGATCACACAGGAGGTCTTCCACAGGACAGGGACCTTCTCCAGGCTGAGGCTCAGGTTGTACATGTAGCTGAGGACCCCAGAGAGCTGGTCTGCACAGGTCCTCAGCAGCCTGGGACTGATCCCGTCCGGTCCTGCGGATTTCCTCAGCTTCAGTCGCTGGAGCTGACTCCTCACCTGGTCCGGTGTGATGGAGAGGGGGGGGGGACCGGGGTGTACTGTCCGAGGTGGGGGCTGGGGATGCGGGGGCAGGAGGGCCCGGGGATGCGGGGGCAGGAGGGCCCGGGGCAGATGGAGAGGGGGGAGAATCAAACCGCTTGAAGTACTGGTTAAAATCATCCGCCCGGTGCTGGTCTCCATCCGCTGTTCACCATTTTTAATGTAAAAAACTAGTGAATTTCACCTAGATATTTTCAGAAATTAAAGACAAGATGTTATATAATAATTATTTAATGAAAACACAATTTTGCCAATTAAATGACAATCAACCTATTTTTACTATTTACTCAAAGTGCCAGAGCAACATCCGATGGGTTTTCCCAGATCGATTCACATTTACTAAATCTCATCATATTTGGGAATTACTTACTATACATTTTATATTCCAACAGTTACAGTGCTTCAATGTTACAAATATTTTTTACTTTATTATTTTGAAAACTAAATGCCCTGATTCTCAAAAAATTGTTTTAAAATAGTCTTATTTCTGTTTACCCCCATGTATTCACTCAAATAATATAATTCACAGCCGTTGCACCGTGCCCCAAAGACCTGTAAATGGACAATGCAATGTTCCTGACGGCAATAACACAATCCTGAATCTTTCATGTTATCGATTGGCCTCATACTGTTATGTCCTTGGTTTATTTCTACGGTTTTTTTAACATTTTCATTAAAAGCGTTGCACTGTTTTCTAGTTTAGTGTTGAGCTGTTGACAAAGTAAATCAAAATATAACCTTGGCTGCCAGAATGTGCCGTTTTCTTTGCTCATACTCTGGATGTGTTTGTCCTCAGGCTATTTGCAGTGCATTGATTCGGCCACAGTGAGCCTGGTGGAGAAATACAGCCTTCAGATCCAAACTCTGTCGTACTCTCAGGCGGTGATTCCCGTGGCAGCCGCTCAGCCCGCGCCTGAAGGCTGTGCGGTGGCCATCGCATCAGACAGGTGCACCGTGAACCTGATGCTCAAGGTGAGAAGGGACGAAGTGTGTTGGTCGTACGCAGTGGATGTATCAAAGAGCCTTTTACAGACGGTTTTCCATGTTATTGAGAACATGTGTTTTGCTCCAGTGCTCATGTTGTAAAAGCGGTCCCAGATGTTAGAGATCACTGGAAATGCTTAAAACTCAAAGGACTGTGTAAGGAAAACGGCATGGTAAACACACTCACTGTAGATCTGTGGTCCCCATTGATTATACATGTTCTCTGCAGAGGACAGGGCGTACTTATTTGCTAATTGCCGTGGGGGGGGGTGTGTGTGTGTGTGTGTGTGTGTGTGTGTGTGTGTGTGTGTGTGTAAAAAAAAATACTTATAGCTTCATAGAACACTTTAGAATCATGAGATCTCTCAAGTGACACTTTGATGACTGTGTAGTGTCTGTAACCACAATTCTCCCCCATAAACCTGATTTGAGTTTCTGTTCCTTCCCTTCCTGCCTCAGGGTCTCATTGACGTGGAAAAGGAAGTGTCAAAGCTGATGACAAAGAGGGCAGACTTGGACAAACAGATGGAGAAAGTCAAAGAGAAAATGGCAAAGAGCGACTATAAAGACAAGGTGCCGCTGAAGGTGCAGGAGCAGGATGCAGAGAAGGTGAGAAAAATAAATTGACTCTGGGTGTTTCTCCCTCTTCTGGAAACTGCATGGGTTCCTGCTGATAATTAATTTTCCTCTTCCGACAGCTACGACAGAGTCAAACTGAACTGGAGAAGGTAAAGGAGGCTATTGAGAACTTCAACAAAATGATCTAACACGCCTTTTTTGCTAGATCTCATGTCTGATAGCTTTTATTTTACACTACGCTTGAGACATTGTGCCAGCCTTATTTTTATAATAGTTCACAAGAAGTTATTTGTATGACTCTATTCAAGTGACAAGATTGAAAGATTAGATATTGCAGTCCTCATCCTTTTGCTTCTACAGCCAGCTTCTTCTAACCTGTCTCACAGCGACAGTATATAATGTACATTATTGAACTAAGAATAAAGAATCGCTGAAATGGCTTTTACAAATGAGAATTTTAAGTTCATACTATATGCACAGTGCGGTCGTATTACTTATAGGGCAGCAAAACCACAGAGGAAGCCTGCTCTTGTCAAAGTTCCCAGCTACTATAAGAAAAACAGACTTGGCAGTTATGTAGTTTGTTGTATTTAATGAGGTTTGTACATTGTCATGTGTAGTGTAAAATCTGGCAAACACACATCCTTTTATTGTTCATAAATGTTTCCAAATGAAGTGAATAAAGAACTACCAATTTGTCTTGTTGCATTCAAGTGAATTAGTCAAAACATATGCTCAGATTCCAGTGTCAAACATTTTATTCAACATAAAGCCAAGGAGGACCTTAAAATCTTTGGCGGCATTTGTATCCGGATAATTGTTCAGAAAGGATTAAAAAAAAAAATAGCCATAAACTACAAATGGAAAGTCGATGTCGCACGAGTGAAGAAATTGGACACATTTCCGCTAAACACACTTTTTTGAACATTGAAAAAAAAGGAACAGTACAATATTTCCTCATGTACCATGGCTATTTTACAGCTTTAGGAAGAGCATGTCATAAAACCAGCATTTTCATGTATGCATTACATCATTGTTATGCAAAATGATTTGCTACTTGTGCATTCATTGACCTATTCTGCTCACTCTGTAACCAGGAGTAAAATTATAGTTAAACAGTTTGGAATTAAAATGTAATGATAGTGCACATGGCTTTTCAGAATACCTGGAAAAAAAACAATTGGAATTTTTTTTTCCCTATTTGAGTATTGTACGTAGTGAGGAATTATTTTAAGTTCCATTGCCAAGTCAGTTAAGTAAGAATGCCACTTCAATTCCACTGGGAGCATTTTCCTCTTTACAAAATTAAGAGCAGTCAAAACATTTCACTCCTTTGAATATTGGTTACTTCCGAAGTGTGATCTGCTACAGTCTCCAGGCCGGGTGGAACTCTGCGGCTGGCAGCGGAGTGCAATGTGTAGTCTCAAAGTTGTGTAGATACTTGTGCGCCTGAAAGAAGGAAAGGGGGTTCAACTTTATCATTTAAACTTGAAAAACATTTAGAAATTCAAAAGAAAAGGAATCAATTCTTCCACAATATTTGATTCCTCGTCACAGACTCTCACATCTATGCACACTTCCTCCAGTTCATTGGGGGCAACCAGAGGTGTGCACGGGTCCTCAGCTTAGACTGTATATATTAACAGATAGTCACGCCTATCTCCACCGTTCAAACTAATGGGCCAAAAATTGTGCTCTACTGGAGCTATCCAAAATGGCCGTGAGTGGTTGAACGAGTGCGTTAAAAAATTCAAAGCGACTAAACCAGTGGTCCAAAAAAATTCACTCCCCTCAGCATTGACACACATGTGGAACGGTGCTTTGGGCCAAGAGCCAACTTTTGGTCCATCCTGTAAAGACGTTTCCGAGAGGTCACCTAATGCTATATGTTAGCATTGGCTAATTCTCATTCTGGGTCCACCCCCATCGGCCCGGGGTGGTATTGCAAGCATGTCAGTGCACGTCATTTTGGCCACTTTTGAGCCGGGACCCGCCCCCACTGGTCCTCAGGTGTTTAGATGCATTTAGATGGAGATCGTTTGTTTGAACATCCATGCTACTACCAGGAACCTCAGAACAATCAAGCCCATGTATCCTATAACTTTGAAGTAGATTCTGTACCCACTATATACATCCCCTTTAATATAATCCCTTTATCAAGAAGTTCCGCAATGTACCTTTCCTCACTGGTTTGAACCTGGGGCCATGTGAACAAAGCACGCAGCACTTGATTACATTAGCCCAGCTCCCTCCTCTCCACCACAACAGCAGCAGATCTCTTAAGGGGGTTACACGGAGGCACACGGAGGCACACAAAGCCCAATTCAGGAGGTATTACCGGGGGAGGAGAAGCATAGCATTAGCTGTAATTGATGGCACTCCACTTGTTTGGTGTTAAATGACTTCAATAACGGGGGAGGCTCAGCGAAATATATTACCACAGTCAACCTGAGAGCACAGGTGAGGCGGTTACTACGGCAACGGCAAAAGTGTTCCTCTGTGATAATGATGTCTAAGAATAGCGGAGGCTTTCTGCACCCCACACGGATTGTCGGAGAAGTACGGAAAGTAGGACTTGTTTAAATAAGGTTTATTGAAGAGAGGGTTTTGGATTGGATGATGCAAATTGTCACTTGGGCACCAGAAGCATCAGTAATCATCAAGGAAAAAGCACTCACGCAGATGGCTGTCTTCAAAGTAAAAGGTTGTTTTGCAGCTCTGGGTTGTGCACACAGCTGCTGTGCCTTTGAGCAAGGCTGACAGTGTTTAGTAATGTAACTAATCACATAGTCAAAGTAACTTGCCAATTACTTTTCAATGTAACATCATCAAATTACAGCACTTGAAAAGAGTTCCTCCAGTAAGTAACTTTTCACAAAATAATGTAGGTATATATTGTAATATACGTGAAACATGACATTATGTTTGAGCTCCTAGAATGTAAATTTAGTTGAAACCCCTCAGATGACATTTATTCATCTTCAAATCACTGATGTTTATTTTGTTGAGGGCTTCCTCTCGGTTACACACGGCTGGCGGTACAGGAGCCTTCAACATGGGCACATCCTTATTTTGGCCAAGCATTAGTCAGTGGGCGGACACCTCTGCGTTGGCTTTCATCTCACCTCAAATCAGTTTGTGTGCATTCTCAACACTCCGGGGGATGAGACTGCTCCAATTAAACTTTCCCGTATCTTTCCTGACGTAGGAGGTCAGTAACATGGGGATAACGTTAGAATATGTCATGCTGTTATTTTGCTCAGTATCGAGTAATCAAATTAGTTACTTAGCAATGGTAACTCATTACTGTTGAGTAACTTATTTTTTTTAACATGACCAACAATAATGTCATTCATGAAACTACCTTTTTCTATATAAGCTATAGTTGTATATTGTGTACGTGTACTCCTTTGTACATCTGACCATAAAACACATCCATTTGGTCCTCATTGAAAACTCACAATAGAATTACATACTACAGGCACTTCACTGGAATATGTGTATGTGTGCGTGTATATCCACACACACACACACACACACACACACACACACACACAAAAATAACTCACCAAATAAAGAGCCAGCTGACGTCTTCCTTCTGGAGTCATATCCTCTCCTAGAAACAGGAACGAGGCTCAATTCTCTGTAGGTTTTGTGGTGAAGGATTCATGTTAAAGTCAAATTACTCACCAACAGACCAGGGGAAGCGCACGTCCCTCTCCGTCTGATACGACTGCAGCACCGACGCACACCAGTCGTCGTCCACTTCATACTGACTGTACACAGACACTGCAGACAGAGACTACTTTAAAAACATTCAAACCGAAACTCATCAAAAGGTACTCATGCACTAGAATCAAAATCTAAACTCCTGTATCAGAGGTGTTGGCTTTAAGGCCTCCATCGGGTGTGAATAAGAGCTGTGCAGAGACAGAAGCTTTGATTGTTGAGCCCGAGGGACTGTCGGATTTATTATTTACATTCAAGGGCTACTTCATTAGGATCCATAATGGTGTTTTGTTTAGACCACATCTAATAAAGACTTATTAGTGACTAAAAGATAGAAGTTGTGACTAGAAGATAAAAAAAGACTTTTTATTCTAATAAATAGTATTTGACATTTTATTTTCTAATGTTTGAACATGACTGATTAAATGGACATTGTCAGGGATTATTGACAAAAGGAGTACACCGACAGCCAATGCTTAATGAAGAGCAATTTCCATCCATCCATCCATTTTCTACCCTTTAATCCATTTCTGGGTCAGGGGGGTGGCAATCAGAGATGCCACCCAAGTCTCATAGCACCAGCCCCTCACTGACCCTCTGCAGGTGGTGAGTCCACAGGAGGACGGCTGCTCTCTGAGTGTGAGCATAGCCTTGATCTTTCAGTGGGGGCTTTGGGCAAAGTGGGGTTAAGTGTCTTGCCCAAGGACACAACGACAGCAGCCATCAGTGGGAGTCGGTGGAGAAGGTGCAGAGGTGGGAATTGAACCCACAACCTTCTGGCCTTAAGGCCAATGCTCTACCAACTTAGCTACTGTCGCCAAAAGAGCAATTTCTTTACTGTAAATTAAGTTCTCATTGTCTCGTTCTGTACATGTGCACAGTATCCCCTCAAGTTGCATCCCCTTTAATTATTATTTATTATTAGGTACCTACTTCTACAAAAATGTAACTGTGATAGCAACGATCTATGACACCCTTGGCTCATGATTTAATATTAAGCAAATGTGAAATCTGGAGATTTTGTTACATTTTGTCCTCTGCCTTTCGTTAGACTAAATACATAATAATAATATTAATAATTTTAAATTGTCTTCTTGTAATATAAATTATGTTTGGACCACCCTCTTCGGTCTTATGTTCCATGCCTGGTGAGAAGAAAAGGTGATTGAGCCATTGCCCTCGGCACTTTGATGATATTTGCTTTCCCACAGAAGGTATTCTGCAGACACTGCATTTTATGACAAAGGACATCAGTGTGCACCGTTTGATTAGAATCATATAAATACTTCATCTCCGGGAAACACAAACAGCCACAAGCAACACAGACTGGTGTGCTATTGCTTCAATGTATTGTCTGATAACATAATTTTCTAAAATCTAAACTCCTACACATGCACAGAAAGATAAGCATTCATTTTATGTTTTAAAATGTTTTTAAGAAATACAGTGTAATGTAGTAATATGACATGAATAGTTTAATGGCCTAGAACAAGTTATAATGCTTTATGGGTCAGGTTAAAAGCTGCACAAGCAAACCTCCTGTTTACTGTCAAAGATAAGAGTTTTCAAATATTCATGATTTCATGACCTAAATATTCTTTATATTCACAGTGGATCAGCTTTGTGACACCACAACCCCACGGATACGTTTACCACTTACTTTCTTCGATGTAATTGTAAGCTCCGAGCCACTCCCGGACCACTCTGATGCTCTCGTCTGTCATTATTTTAGGATATCTACAAAGCAAAATAGATACATGAAAATAATACCAAAACCGTGAAACAGTAAACCCATGATTGTTTTGATAGATTCCATTAAAACAGACCTGAACTGCAGAAGTTTGAGCAGCAGGTCGTTGCCCCTGTTCGACATGATATCCTCTGGACCCCTGAAACATGCGTGGGCGGGAAAATACGAGAAATATGAACAGGTGAAAAAATACAGTAGTGTCTTGGTTGACTCTTTTAAAAACCCATAATGGACAGTTGTTAAGAACACAGATGACATTTCAACTGAATTTGCCCTTGACAAAAGATGAAGCCATTGGAGGAGATACAACAAGTCGGTTATGATTGATAAATGATGAACTTATTCCGCAGAGCAATTTACAAATATGTAGTTACTGCATGAAATCACATCTCTTGTCAAGAATCAACTTTTTCCTGTATCTGCTCATAAGTTCACATACATATTTTTCAGTCAGTAGGATAAAAAAATATATTTTCACCTCATATTTAGAGGTTGGGGCAAATTCTAAGAAAAGATCCACAAGGGATAAAAGCCACAGAATAATAACAAACATTATAATCGCAAAGAACAAGTGGAAAACATGTAAACTCCACACAGACGTCCTTTCGGGAGGAGGAAGGACAAATGCTAACCCCTGCTCCAGGCCATAAAAGACTAAAATCATGATTTTAAATAATCAAATATAAAACCCCACGTTACCAGTTTAAGATCTCTGAAAGTCAACGCTTTGGTCAATGCTGCAAAAAAACTACTTTTATTTTTGTATTGATTTTATCCTAAACTATATCTTCATATTTTTCCTCAAGTTTATTATTATTAGAAAGTGCTAAAAAACAAATGTATTTTAGTGATCCTGATTTGAACAAGCCCGACTAACCCCTGCTCTTCCAACACTGCTCTTTGGACACACAATGAACAGATGAATAGTGAATTCCTTGCCATGACAACCATTAATTAGAGAGTCCTGCTTTTTGTGAACTTTGAGCCGCACTGATGCTGCAGGTGTGACATTTTAACAAGTTTCCGCAGTGCATACAAATATTTGTGTTCACCTTCAAATTAGCGAGGTGGAGATTTAGAAAACGTAACTCCAGAGAGCACAGAGCCGTGTGTGGAAGAGTGGATGAGGCCAATTATGATCGAGGGAGCGAGCGTTAATTATACAGTAAAATAATATTCACATTGTCTGCCGTTAAGGTGCACATGACAGGTTGGAATACTAATTTCATAGCCAGTTTCATATCCACAGCAGACTCCCCGTTCTGCAGATATGACCCATAACTTAGCCTAGAGAACTCACTTGCTCATCTCGTAAATGGAAATTGTAATGCAATACTGTGAAATAAGGAGGATCCTTTGCAAAACATCTTATTAAGCACACTTTTAAGCTTGTTCCCAAAACAAAAACAGACAAAACTCGTATAGCTCTAAAGTGCTATGTAAGTACAATGTATTATTATTTATCATTTATACACATATCTAGAATCATCAACACAAGCTTAAGCCGAGCACACCAAGGAACAGAATACTGATTCTGCCCGAGAGATAGAGATAGACCCCCAGAGGTTGGGCTGAGTATCTTCCAGAGCCTGTCGATGTGATACCAATCTTGATACAGGGAATTCCAAATAAATCCGATTTGAATATCCAACTATAATTATTTTATCCTTTTACTTTATCTGAAAAACCAGAAAATTAATACTGCAAAAAGTTTTTAGCACTCACAATCCTTTTTAAACTGTCACAAACCCACCAACATGGCTGCTCTTAAATCCCATTCACAATGGAGAATGCATCTATTCTCCAACCATCAAAAAAATAAAATACCAAAGAGTAAATATCTCCACAAAAACTAATATTGCTCCTTTACATTTCAATTCTTTATTGGCTGCATAATGTGGAAAAATAAAAAAATATGTTTGACTCACGTAGTTGTAATGATCTCATCTCTGGTTCTCCGAATAAATAAAACTGGACCATGGTATCTGAAGACAAACACACAATATGAATAAAAGACTGATTAAAAGGTGTTCAATAAAAACGCACAATTACACTGTTGGACCCACTTGAGTAGCTGCTCTACGTTGTTTAGGTTCATGTACGTCCTCACGGTGTACTGCACGAGAGGCCCTACAAGAAATACACATTTACATTTGTGAAACGTCGTCTTATTTAAATCAAGTTCAGGGTTCAGAGGTGGTTTGAGAGTGACTGGATCTCTATTTTTATGAATGCATTTGTTAGGAACAGTGAGTTTAAAAAGACAAACATGACAGAGCATGATTGTAAAAGGCAGATTATAGACAGAGGCTCCTCTTCCATCTGTTGTCCCAGGGGGGTTTGGTGAGCCATCTCTTAAGGGACAGTAACCCAGTGGTGCATGTCTTCATGCTATCTAATTAAAAAGGAACGGTGTATAGTTTTGCCTCTTTCGGGTGTAAATATTACTACCAAATGAAAATAAACAGCCAAATTAACCATAACATGATCCACAAAAAAATATAACTATCAAATAATCTATCAAACCAGTTCCTCGCGCTCTATGGTTTTCACATGAGCTCTCTTATGCTTTCTTATTCTAAAGAGTGAAATCAGATAAGACCGTATGCTCTGATTTGTTACCTTTAAGCAACAACAGCTAAAATGTAATTGTTTCACATAAAAATAGTAAATCAAAATACAACAGAACTTACTCCAGCTGTCGGGCATGACCTTCAGGGCCAGAGGCAGCACGTCGTCAAATGAGGCGTCCAGGATCACAGAGTGGATCTCTGGGTAAGACATCGCTGCCCATGTGGCTACAACAATAAGTCAACAACTATTATTAGAATAGCATAAGATCCTTTTAACAAAAGGTGCTGTTCTTAGGTTCTTATAATTTTGTGACTTCCTCCCCTATTTTTAAATCTGAAAATGGATTGTTCTGACTGAAGCTATTCATTAAGAAAAAAAAAACTTTTCCAGTTCCAATGACTTTTGAAACTTTTGCTTAATTATGTCTCACAACAAGAAACTAGGACCCGGCCGGAGCCTTGTTGCAATAAAAGTCACATTATTTATATTTCTACATACCATGGATTATTTTTCATATTTCATAATGCGAGCGACTGATGAATTACTAAGAAGGGTAAACTTGGGTGCGGAACTGTGTGAACAAAATCACATGAAGCACACAGATGTAGCCTGGACTTAGCCATCCGTAAAGTCCAGCCACTTATTATTTCCCTACATTGAAATTAGCATGATGGTGTGGTAAGACGCTGATGGAACGATCAATTTCATTTCAGCTGAGGTAGCATGTAAACATGTATAACTTTTAATTTCTTTCCACATGTTATTGTTGCTTTTTTAAAACATGCTTATATCAGCAAAACGGCACTCTTAGAGTAGAAACAAACGCTCGTGCCAGACTTAACTGGATCTTGCAAATGTATTTATTTATTTTATTGCTTCATTTTTATTTTATCTATTCATTTGCTTATGAAGCTTGAATCCCTATGCAGCACTTTGGTGTTTTTAACTTAAGATATAAAACAGATGAGAGTCTCTAACTTGGCAAATAAAAGAGGAAAGTTTTTTTTGGCCATATTTTGCCAATCCCTTTCTCCAAGTGTTATGACTGTATATCTGTTTATCTACTCTTACCCGTGAATCCTCCGATAGACCATGCATATACGATAATTTCCTCCACTTTGAATCCCAGCTTGTGTATTGCAAACTGAATCACTACATCCATGGCATTGGCCTCATTCTGCGGGAAAGGAACCCCCTGGAACGGAAATGCAGTCATTGACACAGATGCTGTATGCATGAAACTCAACATGAGATGATAATGTGATCTTACAGTGCTTCCTCCAAAACCAGGGTGATTCCAGCCCAGAACCGAATAACCACCTGTTTACAACCAAAGCAAGTTTACAAAACAAAAATCAAGTTAGGTACTTCCTGCCATTCTTATACAGTTCATGTGTTATAATCATTCCCGTGTGAAACACTTAAAAGTGCTTTTCACAACTTTCACTTTCAGAACCCAGAGCTTGTTTAGCCGACACAGTTGCTAAAAAATAACTTTCTGCTTTGTCATAGAAATAAAGGAATAAAGAAAAACAAATCTTTTTACATGGAGCGCATTTGCTTGGGTTCATTGGAAAAATATATAAAACACAAATTTACTAGAATTACGGTCACATGTGCAGTGGGTGCCCCAACCCCCATGATGCTTTGCCTGACGAGAGTTATGCGAGTGGTCTGACCAATCAGTGAGCAGTAATTAGAGGTCGAGCAGGACGAGTTTCTTGCACTAAAGTGTGGATTTATAGAAAACCGATGGATATCAAAAGAGAAAAGACGACAACTGAATTCCCTACAAAATTCATTGTGAAAGCTGTAGCTGAGGGAGGGCAGTTTTTGATTAACATGAAGGTATATGAGAAAATACAGTGGAGCACACACTGTAGAGAGGCTTAAGCGAGCAACACTACTATAATAGAGCCATTCTAAACTTTCTTGAGGTTGAAAAATACATGCATTCAAACTGAAAGATAAAACAATACTTTGGGAATTTCTCCATGGAATCAATCTATCTCCATGTCATACTGAAGAAGGACGCAGCAAAAAACAACAGCAAGGCTTGGAGCCCCCAAGTAGTTTTGTGGAGATCCAAGCCCACTCACAATTAGAACACATATTTTTTACCTTTTTTTCAGCGCAATTAAAAGATCCAAATTGAACAAGAAAGTGTGAATATTTTTTTCAGTCAAAAAGTAGTGTGGATTTATGCAACATGCCTTTCCCAATCGGTTTCAAAAGGATTTTAATGGAACAAAATTGTTTTACTAATCTCTCAAGATACACGATATGTTAGTAAATATTGCAAAAAGAACCATGACAAATGACAATGTATTGAGCGAAAACATGTGAAGACTGCACTTCTTACTTTCCAGTGGTGTGTTCATGCATCCAACTTCATAAAAGCCAGCGTTTCCCTCACAGCAGATGACCTGTGCAAGTTGAGGACAAAAGTGTGTGTGAAGTGCTGGATGCAGCTGGACTACTGATAAAGACTCACTAGGAGAACAAGCAAATGAAAGAGGACAGTTACCAGAGTCTGCCCGTTCTCCTCGTCTCCATCCCTCCTGCGATCGACAAACATGGTGTCGATTTCATTACCGTCGCAGGCAATGAGCTTGTTCCTCTGCCCATCGTACTGAGGGGAAACACAAGCAAAAGGCAGGACCGGAATTAAACAGCCGCTGCATTCAATAGTTTGTACACACAGCATCGAAAACATGTGACGTCATTATTCCCTGCGCAGAGTAGACCATCAGAGAAAACTAATCATCACTGTGTGTATCTCACAAGTTCTCTGGATCTCAATTCTCCAGTGTAAATTTTATTGAAAACAAAACAAAACAAAATAACTGGTAGGACAAATACAATATCTTGATTATATTGCATGTGTTGATAATTAATGTTGAGCAAAGATGAGAACGCAATGTTTCAATCTTTGGCACAGCCCTAACATAAACGACAGATGAGTCAATCCAAGATAAATCCATCACATTCTGTTCTGTTCTTTTTGTGTTTGAAACAATTGAATAATGAAATACATGATTTTAATGTATAAAATAAGACTTATTCACAGTGTATGAACATTTCCAGTTAACAGTATAGACAGGGACATGGTCTTTGTGTCCAAGGAGTGTAGCTCCAGTGGAATAAAGCAGGAGATTTCTCAGAAAACGCTCCATAATAAACATGTAAGACCTACAATGCAGTATTTAAGACCTTTTAAAACCTAAATCCAAATGTTATTTAAGTATTTTACACCTTGACCACTCGCGGTCAATTTGGATAGCTCCAGTAGAGCACAATTTTTGGCCCATTTGTTTGAACGGCGGAGATAGGCGTGACTACGTCTGTTAATATTTAGTCTATGGGATCAACACGTTCCAAGCAGATGGTGACAATGTTTTATCTTCCATAAAAAACATTTTTGGTGTACCTCTTCAATTAACTTGGCCTGGCCTTGTTGCAGCATAGGCCTCATGGCTTTCTGCAGCAAACCCACTGATCCAGGGTAGAGCATCCGCCTCCCAAACGAGTGTGCGATTAAATAACTGAAACACAAATCAGAAATGTAAAGACCATAATGCAGTTGTTTCATTGACCGAGTATTGATAGAAGTAAGCTGGGAGTGTAAAATGATGCAAAAAACTACTGTGAAGAGTGATCAAGAAAGATAAGAACTTTTACATTATAGGCTACAAGGACGACAATGAAACAATTGAAACAGGGTTAAAAGTCAAATTTGCATAAAATTTCCTCATCAAAAAATAGACCTGGGGTTGTTTTAGATCTATCCTAAACTAATACTTCAGGCACAATCGTGTAACACGGCCACTTCTATCTAGGAGCTCCCCTCTGGGTCCTGTAATAGATAAGGTACACTTTATTGACACTGTTGCAACATTTGTAATAGTTTGAAATAATTGTATCACTATGACATCACACTACTGAGCAGTTTACTGCCTTTGAAAATAATAAACCAATACATTGTTTTTTAACAGTTTCTCAAGTGAACGTTCTTTTAAATCACATGGCTGTTCCCTCATTGCCCAATGCTGTACAAGGAGCAGTAAAATTCTCAATATGAAAATGTTGTTGATGTCCCAATATTAATGGTCCTGACTGTTTAATGAAACTCCTGCAAAAGCAACTGGACACATGAGATGAATAAGTAACTTGAAAAAGTTTTCATTCGGTCGTTATTTGTAAAACAAAAGGTTATTAATCATTCTGCTTTCACAATAATATGTCATGTCTGTGACCATAATGAGAAAACATGTGCAAAAGCGAATGGGTTACAATGAAACGCAAAGAACTGGCAGATCTGGTTGTGCTTGTACAAAAAGGGCATTGTCCAGATTTCTGAACACACGAGTACATTTGAGTGACAGTAATAGGGCTGATCATAGACTCACCTGATGATGTGGCACGGCAGAGTGCGCACAGAGTGGAGGATACCGTCGGCTGCTCCTCTTAGCCTGGGCTCCGGCTTCAGAAGAGAAACACCGGCTTTGGAGAGTTTTCTGTCAAAAAAATAAAAATAAAAGATTCCATCAAATTGTATCATCATGAATGAAGTGTGAACAAAAAAAAGATTCCAAAAGGGAAAGCTGGTCGTTGAGAATTCTTTAGAAGTTTGGAAGGGACTTGTCATTTCCAGCGTGACAACTCATAAATCTGCATTTATTTTTTACCGCTCTTTACAATACTCCCAAAATGCATACACTAGGATAATGCATGTCCATTGGGGGTGTGAAAAGATCCCCAATTACAGTGGGGCAAAAAAGTATTTAGTCTGCCACCGATTGTGCAAGTTCTCCCGCTTAAAATAATGACAGAGGTCTGTAATGTTCATCATAGGTACACTTCAACTGTGAGAGACAGAATGTGAAAACAAATCCAGGAATTCACATTGTAGGATTTTTAAAGAATTTATTTGTAAATTATGGTGGAAAATAAGTATTTGGTCACTTCGAACAAGGAAGATCTCTTGCTCTCACAGACCTGTAACTTCTTTAAGAAGCTCTTCTGTCCTCCACTCGTTACCTGTATTAATGGCACCTGTTTGAACTCGTTATCTGTATAAAAGACACCTGTCCACAGCCTCAAACAGTCAGACTCCAAACTCCACTATGGCCAAGACCAAAGAGCTGTCGAAGGACACCAGGAAAAGAATTGTAGACCTGCACCAGGCTGGGAAGAGTGAATCTACAATAGGCAAGCAGCTTGGTGTGAACAAATCAACTGTGGGAGCAATTATCAGAAAATGGAAGACATACAAGACCACTGATAATCTCCCTTGATCGCAAGATCTCATCCTGTGGGGTCAAAATGATCATGAGAATGGTGATCAAAAATCCCAGAACCACACGGGGGGACCTGGTGAATGACCTGCAGAGAGCTGGGACCAGAGTAACAAAGGTTACCATCAGTAACACACTACGACGACAGGGAATCAAATCCTGCAGTGCCAGACGTGTCCCCCTGCTGAAGCCAGTGCATGTCCAGGCCCGTCTGAAGTTTGCCAGAGAGCACATGGATGATACAGCAGAGGATTGGGAGAATGGTTTCATCTGACCACATGACAAAGTAGAACTGTTTGGTATAAACTCAACTCGTCGTGTTTGGAGGAAGAAGAATACTGAGTTGCATCCCAAGAACACCATACCTACTGTGAAGCAAGGGGGTGGAAACGTCATGCTTTGGGGCTGTTTTTCTGCTAAGGGGACAGGACGACTGATTTGTGTTAAGGAAAGAATGAATGGGGCCATGTATCGTGAGATTTTGAGCCAAAACCTCCTTCCATCAGTGAGAGCTTTGAAGATGAAACGTGGCTGGGTCTTCCAGCATGACAATGATCCCAAACACACCGCCCGGGCAACGAAGGAGTGGCTCCGTAAGAAGCATTTGAAAGTCCTGGAGTGGCCTAGCCAGTCTCCAGACCTCAACCCCATTAAAAATCTGTGGAGGGAATTGAAAGTCCGTGTTCACTGCTCTCGAGAAGATCTGCATGGAGGAATGGGCCAAAATACCAGCTACTGTGTGTGCAAACCTGGTAAAGACCTATAGTAATCGTTTGACCTCTGTTATTGCCAACAAAGGTTATATTACAAAGAATTGAGTTGGATTTTTGTTATTGACCAAATACTTATTTTCCACCATAATTTACAAATACATTCTTTAAAAATCCTAATATGTGAATTCCTGGATTTTTTTTTCACATTCTGTCTCTCACAGTTGAAGTGTACCTTTGATGAAAATTACCACTTAAAATAATGACCTCTGTCATTATTTTAAGTGGGAGAACTTGTACAATCGGTGGCTGACTAAATACTTTTTTGCCCCACTGTATATGGAGCAGTTTTGGAGCTAGAAATAGCAACCCGTTGTTACACTAAATTGTGTTTAGATAATAAGTAAAAGAAGAACTTTCACTGACAAAAGAACCCACAGAAAAACATCAACCAACACATATAGTGGGGCAAAAGAAAATTTGTCAGCCACCAATTGTGTTTCATCATAGGTATACCTCAACTATGAAAGACAGAATTGGAAAAAAAAATCCGGAGACTCACATTTTTAAAGATCTGTTTGCAAATTATGGTGGAAAATAAGTATTTGGTCAATACTTTCAATACTGGGGCGACAGTGGCTCAGTTGGTAGAGCACTGGCCTTAAAGCCTGAAGGTCGTGGGTTCAAGCCCACCTTCTCCACCGACTCCCACTGATGTCTGCTGTCGTTGTGTCCTTGGGCAAGACACTTAACCCCACATGGCCTGAAGGCCCTGCTGAAAAATCAAGGCTGTATCTTCCTCTGGACTCACCCCCTACACCAGGATCAGCGAGGGGCTGGTGCTCAGTGAATTGGGTGCAGCTTTGACTGCCACCCCCCCAACCCAGAAATGGATTAAGGGGAAGAAGACGGATGGATGAACTTTCAATACTTATACCCGTTGTTGACAATGACAGAGCTCAAACATTTTCTGTAAGTCTTCACAAGGTTTTCACACACTGTTGCTGGTATTTTCGCCCTTTCCTCCACGAAGATCTCGAGAGCAGTGATGTTTTGGGGCAGACTTTCAACTCCCTCCTGGCAGGCTAGGCCACTCCAGGACGGTCAGGACCTTGAAAAGCTTCTTACGAAGCCACTCCTTCGTTGCCCGGGCGGTGTGTTTGGTATCATTGTCATTCTGAGAGACCCAGCCACATTTCATCTTCAATGCCCTTGCTAATGGAAGAAGGTTTTGGCTCAAAATCTCAAGATACATGGCCCCATTCATTCTTTCCTTAACACGGAACAGTCATCCTGGTCCCTTTGCAGAAAAACAGCCCCAACGCATGATGTTTCCACCCCCATGCTTCACAGTGGGTGTGGTATTCTTTAGATACAACTTTTGGATGCATTCTTTCTCCTCCAAACACGACAAGTTGAGTTTTTACCAAATAGTTAGTAATAAATTACAATTTTGGTTTCATATTCCCATACGACATTCTCTTACCAATTCCTCCCACAGTTGATTTCTTCACACAAAGCTGCTTACCTATTGCAGATTCAGTCTTCCCAGCCTGGTGCAGGTCTACAACTTTGTTTCTGGTGTCCTGTGACAGCTCTCTGATCTTGGCCATAGTAGAGTTTGGAGTGTGACTGTTTGAGGTTGTGGACAGGTGTCTTTCAGTCTGATAACAAGGTAACAAGTGGAGGACAGAGGAGCCTCTTAAAGAAGGAGTTACAGGTCTGAGAGCCACACATTTTGCTTGTTTGTAGCTGACCAAATACTTATTTTTCACCATAATTTGAAAATAAATTATTAAAAAAAAAAAACAGACTATGTAATTTTCTGGATTTTTCTTGTTCTGTCTCTCATAGTTGAGGTATAGCTATAAGTGGGAGAACTTGCACAATAGGTGGCTGACAAATTATAATTATTTTTTTTTAGAAGTACTATAAATGACTTACGGATTGTTAACCTCCGTACAGCTGAAGTCTGCCGGCCAGTGTGAGAAGTCAAAGTCATAGCATCTTATTTTTTTCTGCAGACAAATTAAAGCAACAAGACAATGTAATGATTATTATATGTGTGCTTGAGTGTAATGAGGAAGAACATTTTAATTAACTAAGCTCTTCACAATTGTCATAATATTGTGAGTTTTTGACAGGCCAACATTTTCACCTTGTTTTCGGCTGTGTGACTACTCTTGGTCTCCTCGAGAATAGAAATAAACTGCAGATATTCAGAGTTCCTCCATCTTTCCCAGCCTTGGGTCAAAAAATAAATCAGAAAATGCAACAGAGCAGATAAATAAAAGGCAAGTGGTACAGATAAAACAGAAATATTGAGCTTGTTAGAGGAGCTCAAGGGCGCGTTTAGTATTCACACCCCGTTTGCTGTGGACCTTGTGGAACTATTTCAATGTTAATGACTTTGTGTCTGGGCTGTGTACATGCAGCCTGCTGTGATATGGAAAGATGGATAGGTTGTGTTTGCGACATTGTTGAACGTAGTGTCATAATTTGAAATAGAGGGCAGGAGCCTATTCAACTCTGTGTCTGACTCAAGTTTTGAAAGGAAAGAAAAAAAGGTATTTCCAAAAATATGTTTCTTTTGTTTATTTGAAGATATTAACGAACAGCAGAGGCAGTAAATTCACTGGATTGAGGTCATTTGCAATCCAGGACTCAAGACCTTCTTGCTGTGAAGTACAAAGCGCTAGCCACTGCGTCACCCATTCCAATATAAAACTGGCAAATTCAGTTTTTGATGAATCAATAGACTTTAGAACCAAATTATGAAATGTTAATATAAAGGATGTCCATAGTATTTTAAATAAAAGACTGTAGCTGTAATTTTTATAATAATGATATTACATACATCCCTAAGAGACTGTTATTAATTAAATTATATCTAAAAGAATCGGACCCAAACTAACTCTTCTACCGCAGAGGATATATTTATGGAGGAAAGAACAGGAAATCGTAAGAATGCAAACTTCAATAACTCATCAGCTAATGCACTCTCCACCTTTTAATGAATAAAAGAGTGCCGCTTTAGAGATCAATGCCATACTGTGAAACATTTCATGGAGACGATGAAACAATGGCTGGAAAAGATGGCATGTATTCTACCAGAAAAGTTACACAAGTAATTTCCCCACTCTAAGTTGGTTACGAAATGTACATTTATATTCACCATTGTAACAGCTGTACAGCCAATTACACTTGGATGATCTCTTGGATTCGATTCTTGTTCAAATTCTTGCATAAGAATACACCCATAGCTTGCACACACTCATTACAAAAGCAGCAGTGCTGAAAACGCCTTACCTCTGAGACAGGCCACTCCCAGAAGACAGACCAGCACTGTTCCCACATATTGACTGACAGGAACCAATTTACTGGTGCAGATGTAGCCTGAAAGACAGACCTGTGTAAAACTGTGTAACATTACAAGAATACAGTAACCCTCCAGGTCTACAGTCACAATGGGACAAGAATATGGACTACAGAGTATACTAGACTGAACAATTCACCTTTGCATCCAAACCAGTCAGACCGCTCAGGTCCAGTCTAAAAATATTGAAATTATTGATTTCAAAGCCAAGAAGAGCAAAAACTGGAGTTAAAACATAAAACAACTATCAACAGCAAGTATCCTACCAAAAAATGGTTCGAACCAGTAGTTCTCAAATCTGTTCAACTTCCATTTACCAAGACAAATAATGTGAACTTAAATGCAGTATAATAAAACTAATAATTGAAACGCAGCGGAATCCGAATCCCACCAGATTATGGTAATCAGAAAACATATGTACACACATCTTACAGGTCATTTATTCTATTTACATGCCTCCTACCAAGTAAACACAGAGAGTCATTCTGGTTTAACTCCAGTTTAGCACAGATGTTTAGGGGTTATGTCTATTGTGTCCGGACAGAAGTCTAACCCAGATGTGACAATAAAAAACAGGTTTAAAATGCTGTTGTTCAAGATGGTCGCTAGTCCTATATTCTGAAAAGTGTAGAAAAGAGTAGTTAAACATCAAATACAGCAGTGACATTGATATCCTCTCTTCCTCCATTGCCATCAGGCCCAAGCCTCATTAACTAGATGCAAGACTGCGACTCACAGTCTCAATACTTGCCTGCAACCATGTGTACAGATCAATATCAGATGCTCGATTATACACTAAGGACGGGCGTATTACCACATCTAATTATTTTCTATTGATGCAGCCATATTGGATCATGATGCACTTGATTAACTTTTATTAATTTCCAACTTCTGGGGTAATTCATAGCCTGCAGGCAACAGGATAGTATAAAGTCAGTCGCTTGAAAGAAAGCTTCAAATCAATTTCCTGTGTGTTAATTCTTCCATCATTGCAAAAAGAAAAATCATACAGCAATGATATTTGTACATAATTAAAATTTTCTTATCTAGAAAAGCAATAAAAGTGCAGATTATATCAGATTAAGTTTGTTAGTCATAAATCTTAATATTGTTGAAGTTAAATTGAACTTTCAACCTCAGCAGTGGACTAATGACATCACCCCATCTCATTTGCGTTGTCCAGACAACAAAAACAGTGACTTGTTATACAAAGTACATGCAGGACATTTTGCATGCACATAAAACGGGACCTTTATAAAAAATATTTCAGCAAAAGCGGGCCTACCTTTGCGGTACAAATAGCAAAGCAGAAGAGGAGAGCTGTAGTATGACAGAGACCACAGAGCAGAAGCCTGTAGACACAAAAATGGGACTTATAAAATGGGACTTATAAAATGGGACTTATAAAATGCATTTTACTTTGAATACTTTGAATTCAGAATTAATTTAGAGCGTCTCCTAGTTTAATCAAAAGCTCCACATGACCAGCATGTAAAAGCAATATTTAGAGTTTTAAGTGAGGAAAAGGTATTTCCCCCCATTGGGAGCGGTTGGCTGTCTAACCAGGTTTGTTTCGCCACTATGGAATTTTCACATTTTGAAATATGAAAACTACCGCCATATGATCACATGCACCACAGCAGCAGTATCAGCTGTGTGTCGTCACTGCAACTACTTAGCACTTTAGTTCATGTCCAATAAAGTAATAGCAAAGTCTCGTCTCGATAATTGTTTATCTTAACAAGATCTTAACCTCAAATGCTGACATGTGATTTTATCAAAAGTTTAATTAAAGAAGTGATGGAATTTTTACAAAACTTTTTGATCATTAAAAATTTAGACTTTAGATTTATGCATGTTGTTGTTTCATTGTATCTAATTATTGCTCTGTTTGAGTCTTAAAATCCCATCTCAGTCACAACACTTGTGTGGCTGAGATGTGTTGGAGTCAGTAAAAAAGCAGTTATCGGGTAGCATTAATAAAAATATTAATACAGATTTTAAAAACGTTATTAGTTGTGATTAATTGTTACAGCCCTGAGAGCCAACAATAGTAGAGCTTATCAGTTGCCGCAATGAGGAAAAAAACAAGAGACACATGTGGATGGATCTGCGAAAATAGAAACTTCACTTTCGTGTAGGCCTCTGATATGAACACAGCATGTGGAAATGTTTGGTAGCAGCTGTGAATGCGTACTGGAGCCATGGAATTAGTTCAGATTTGACACAAAACTATGAATTAACTTTTGTCAGCTTTTAATGTACTTACCCAGCCGAGGATGCTGTCTGCATGTTTCTCAAATCCACTCGGTTGGTAGTTGCATCCCTAAAAGAGATCAATTTTTTTATTTGAAAGGAAGTATGAATTACGACCTTTAAAAAAAAAATTTTTTTTTAATTCTAAAGACATTGGTCAAATGATTGACTGTTACAGTGCTCCATACATTACAGATTACAACTATTTTCTAAAGAGAGAATTAAACTTTAAATGCTCAAAATCGAATGCTTGACACGTTGTATTATGAAGAAAAAAACCTCAATTTTAATGGTTACAATATATGCATTTTATAGTTGTTAAATTATTTTTTGTACCAGAATTGTGTGACTTGTGTCAATGTTATTCTCTCATGAAGCTATCATTCAATTACCTTGAGATAGGAATGTCGATTCGATATAACGTTAGCAGGCGAACTAATTACAATGCCTTTCAAGAAAGACACCAAAATAAATAAATAGCGAGGTCCAAGTTATGCAGAGTTGTTTGTGGCTCAGATTTCTCTCTCTGTAAACAAAATATTACATGCATCTGTCATTGAAAACAAGCGACACTTCCGGGGGCCGCTACGGCAGCGCTGCCGCTCTTCAGACGTCAAATACGGGCACGTTTGAGCAGTTTCACCAAAACAAATGGACGCAAAACAGAGAGGACACACGTACCCGTCTCCCCCGCCTGCCTTCGGGTCGGGACGGGTCCGGTGAGCGGTGAATTCGTTGCAAATGGGGCCCGAGAAAGCACCGCAGCCACATCCAACCGGCCATTCTTACGCTGCAGTGACTACGGAGAGCCGGGCTGATCAAAAGGCAAATGCGCGAAATGCAGCAGTCGGTGGTGTAATTGTTAAAATGTAAAATACAAAACCTAAAAGAATATTCCCAATTTGGGCTGTTTAATCTAGGGTCTAGACATTTTTCATGCTACACGAATGTATAGAAAATAATGTATGATGTATGTACAATGATATACATGGCCAAATACATAAAACATACAGTTTTCCAAAATCAGCATCTGAATAATCCATAAACTGTAAATATTAATCACAAAAACTGACTATTTGGACTTTGGAATTAGGACAATCAACATACAAACAAAGTAATTGTTATTCCAGGAAAATAGTTTATTCATAAGAACAAATTATTGAATTGAAAATCCCTATTTCAAACTTTTGTCAAACTAAGTTTGTAAGTATGCCTTATTCTTAAATCACATTTCACAGACACATGAACACATTTGTTCATTAATTTATTACACTCATAGATAGCTATTTACATGTTTTTGGTGAAAGAGGAAACTGGAGTACCCGGAGGAAACCTACACAGAAATGGGGAGATTTTGCAAATTCCTCCGGAAACACCTGGAGGTGGAATCAAGCCCAGGACCTGTACAAGTGCTAACCACTGCTCCTCCGTGCCCCTCATACAGAGAGATAAAACTTGTTAAGTCAATTAGATACCAAACATATAAGATGCTTTTTTGAATGACTTTTTAACATTGTTAGCTTTGTTTTATTATTTTTAATTCACATTAGTATGTACGACTTGTAACAAACCAGCTATAGAAGTAAATTTCTCCTGTGTGAGCTGAATAAAGTCTTATCTTATCTTGTAGGGGCAACAGTGGCTCAGTGGGTCGAGCATTGGCCTGTGTTCGAACCCACCACAAGACTTTCTCCACCGACATTGCCTTGAATTAGTCTGGTGTATGTATGAATGATTTGTGGTGGTCGAAGAGGCCAATGGCACATACTGGTTGCCTCGCTTCTGTCAGTGTGCCCCAGGGCAGCTGTGGCTACATGAATGAATAATGAATAATAGCATGTGCAGTGTTTTTGAGTGTCCAAAAAAATAATATAATATATTATCATTATTATAGCTCAGTTGGTAGAGCATTGGCCTTAAGGCCAGAAGGTCGTGGGTTCAATTCCCACCTCTGCACCTTCTCCACAGGCTCCCACTGATGACTGCTGTCGTTGTGTCCTTGGGCAAGACACTTAACCCAACTTTGCCCAAAAGCCCCCCCTGAAAGATCAAGGCTATGCTCACACTCAGAGAGCAGCCGTCCTCCTGTGGACTCACCACCTGCAGAGGGTCAGTGAGGGGCTGGTGCTATGAGACTTGGGTGGCATCTCTGATTGCCACCCCCCTGATATTATTATTATTATTATTGGAGGGAAATTATTTGGGCAATGTTGCTAACATTTAATGATGACATAGAGCATAGAAAGATCAACAATTACAATATCGTAATATATAGATGGTATACCCTCAAGAAATGTTGAATAATAAGTATCAATAATGGCAAAATACTCAACAGCATACAAATATACAAATATAATGAATATGTACAGGTCAGAAATAATAGTATTAAATAGAATAAACAGGATGAACAGGATATAAACTGATTTTGGGTCCTAAATAATGATAAATGTTTAGTTTATTGTTTAATGTTCTTCAATCAGGACAAAGTACAAAACCATCTGAGCAAATGTTACATTCCATTGCGGGGTAGGTGAGCGCACACAAATACACATTACAACATAAGCAACAATTGATGTATTTTAAAATCTATAACAGTGTTATTATTGTCCACTCTAGGGTCTCGAGTTCTCGGGTCCTGTTCTTATCTGGTATGAGCATCAGGTTTAGTTCCAATGTTGATGCGATATGAATGCAAGTATGTGAATTGTGAACACAGCCTTATTTTGATTTTCTTTTGTTTACGCTTGCATTCATGTGCGTCTGGGACCTGAGCTCTTGTGACAGCTGGTGGTGGATCAGATGTGGGAGGGTCATCAGCTTTGACACTGCTCATATCTGAAACATGGAGCAGGGAAGACACAAATTCTTATTCTTCAGCTTTGTGTATGTTTTATCTTATACAAAAACCCACGCAAAAACAACACACGGTGAAAAAGTACAGAGCCTGTCAGTATGTGGCCTTGTACTGAAGTGATGTTTGGAGCCCAGGGGACAGGAATGAAGAAAACTGAGAAAATATTGAGGTCTACTGGAGTGATATGCGGATTGGTCTTGGTTTGGACCTTTAGCTCTTTTTTACTCTAATCAAATACCTGAGGTTGTTGGTCTTCTCTCTCATTTAACCATTTGTATTTACTGTAGCTTTGTCCAATTTATAAATTCCCACCAAATACTCACCCATCCACGTGGGCATACACACACACACCAACGGGTGATGCAATGCCTTCTCCTTACCGCTCCAGTTCCTTATAGACAGCGTCCTCTCCTCTTGGCTTCAGATCCTGATGTTAATAATAGCAAAGGGGGAAGGGTAAACACTCAGATCCATGGTACAAAGCCAGATTTATGTTCCTCCAGTGTGTAATGAGATTGATTTGTTAATACTGTTAATGTAAGGGTGGTCCGCTGATAGGCATTGGGCTTAGCAGATTGGGCATTGACAGATTGGGGAAGAAAACATATTCACAGAGAGCATCCTGTGCATTTGGATGGGTTACAACTAAAAACTACTTGTGTATAGACTCTTTTATTTGTTGAATTTCAGGCTACAGCAAAGTTGAATGCCTGTTCTGTTACTCTGGTGATGAAAGATACACGTCACATATGGCAAGAATGTTATTTTCAAGAACCACAAGGTTCTGTGGTACAGCGTGAGGTTGACGATATTGCTGAGTGCTTGGTTCAGTCCTTTTATAGCCCTTTTTTATTGGCCATGCCTGTGAAAATATCATGTTTTTCGTGAAATGTTATCTCAAATGTAAAATATTTCTTTGGTCAACAAAAACAATTTCATAAAAAAACGTCGACTTTTTAATGTAACTAAATTAATAGGTCATTTATTTTGCCTAACCTAACCATTACCAACATAAAAATTATCAATATTTTAAATTTAATGTAAAGAGTGATTAGTGACCATATTTGAAGTCCCCTAATGGACTTACTCCACTTATTTGAACTGAATAAAACCATATTTTTGATGAAGCAATGGCTGTTTATGGATGCAGCAATAGCTAGTTTGTTTTAGGCACATGGGGCTGATCCACTAAATGTGTTATTCTATGCCATATATGTGTTTTATGGAGGAAGTTATATTGAACACTGTCCTGTATCCATTGTTACTTAAATAAGACTGCAGTTCAGTTGGATTGGGTAATATTCAAACTAGTATTGATATCAGGTCATTTGGTGAATAAGCTGTCTGAGTCGTATGGCCCATTGCAACCTCATATCATCTGATTAAGCTGGGATGGGAATTTTGACTTCCAATTTGAGACATTTTCTACCAATGAGACGGTAAAACACTATATAAATGTAATTGTGAGATTTGCAGAGACAGACTTCACACTCTGTTGTATCTTGTTAATTTGTGGTCTGTTTACACAGAAGAAGCCTATAAATAAAGTTGAAACAATGAAATTCTTCATGTGGTGTATAATAAGGCAGTGCAGTGTAACTTACCATGTAGACTGAACCCTGGGGAGGAGCCTGCAGGGAAACGAGCAGAGCGGAGAAAACACTTTTAATGAACAACAAGTGACAGAAGAAAGAGGAAAACTGCAAATCAGAGGCAAAATCACAAGGGGGGGAAGCGCGATGGAGGGATTAAAAAAAAGAGTGAACAAAAATTTCATCAGAGAGGGAAATATCGGATTGCATCACCTGTCTCATGTCCTCAGGATTTTCATAGATGTTTTCTGTCTCGCCCGAACGCACCGACAGGGACTGCTCAATACCTGAAAGCAGGCTAGGATTATACAAGCAGCCAACACAGCTGGGGGTCAATACCACCTCTCTGGGCTATCAACTCACTGATAGGCGATAGAGGGTTATCACATGTAAGAGCAGACATTGTAGCTGCTTTACACTCCTGGTTTGTTTGACCCATTTGGACATGGTACAGGCCTGTTTTGGTCTTGATTAGGTTCACTCGGGCTCGGTTTGCACCAGTACTCACACTGATATAACTGAACAATGTATTGCTGTTTATGTCATTATTAACAATATTTATTTTTGACATTGAGCTAAAGGTATGCAACACACATTATCTTGAATAGGGTTTGTGCACTTGCTAGTGTCCATCTAAACTAAATTGTTTTTCCTGAAACGTTCCACAGTTGTGCATTCAAAACATATCTACCCTGGACACACGCATGTGACATCACTAGGCTAACTTGCAGTTAAGACCTGTGGACAGGAAAGTCATCTTGAAACTGTAAAACTGGCATCACCTGCATGTGAAGGACTGATCTCTTCACACCTCAGAAGCTAAGCAGGACATGGTCTGGTTAGTGTAGTGATGGGAGCTCTCTGGGAACAAATTGTCTATGTGTCCTTAGACAAGACATTTCATCCACATTGCATAGTAGTGTATGCATGAATGATGAGGGTGGCGAGAGTGGCCGATGGCAGACACTGGTTCCCTCACTTCTGGCAGTCTGCTTCAGGGCACCTGTGACTACAGCAGTAGTTTATCAACACCATGTGAGTCAATGAATGATGCTTTGTGAAGCGCCTTCTTCATATTATTAATATGGTAATACTTTATACATATTACAATAATAACAGAAATGGTTGTTCCTGGTTGGCCTGCACACCTGCATCATGTTACTTTACCTCCAGATCCTTTTGCCAGTTGCCAACACACTAGGTTTCACCTGTTGAACTCACCAGCTCCAGTTCCACCTCCAACACATACCTGCTCCATCTCTACCTTCTTACACATTGTCTGTTAAAGAAACCCTGTCAACCCTTAATCTGTTGTATTCGGGTTTGCTTGTAATATCCAGAAGGGATAAATTAAGAGATGTCTTTTTTTAAACATACTTTCCCTAGCCTGGTTGTACCACACCATAGTACAAATTACATTATGATGATTGAACGGAGTGTACGGATGGCTAAGGCCAGGCTAGCTTTCCCCTACTCACTCTTAACTTTCAATTGTTTTCAGAACATACAGTACATGTAGCTGTCTAATAGATATTTCCTACTGCAGCTGTTCTATAACAAATTCAGTAGTTCCACACCCAGGAGTGAACAAAATGCAGGTTTCATTCTGGCCTTAGCGGACATCCCGATCGGCATCGCTCCATGGCATTTGACCGTTAGGGGCCCGGAGACGGACATGACATGAAGAGCTGTCAAGAAAAGAAAGAAAAAAGGAAAAAAGGCCTGAAGACTCACCGCGATCCGAAATGTGTCTCTGTCTCCATAGAAACACACCAAGAAGCACAGCAACCAGGGGCACCAAGAGTAATAAAGCGGAGAGAGATGGGAGAAGAGACGGGCTCACGACATCTACAAGAGAAAGAGAAAAACATAAGTGTCTGGAAAGGTCTTGACACTGACACTGCCAACTAACCAAAGTGTAGACAGCTTTACATTTGGGCTGTAACTTTTATCGCTTGTGGTGTAAGAGCCACTGAATGACAGAAACAGCTTTGGGAGTAAGTCATTTAATGTAATATATTCCATTTTAAAGTCTCTAATAATTTTAACAAAATTGTAATATGTGATATACTTCTAAATATAATCAAAGTAACTCAAGTTTATTTGAGTATTTTTTTTTTTTTTTTCATTTCTTTTGTTTTTTTATACAATTCATGTGATGAGTTTTAAAGTTTGTCTGATTATTTAACCATTACATTACATTCTCAACCAATTATATATTATACAGTATAAAACAAGACGAAGCAAGTGTCTTGTTTTTGACGGAGCTTTATCAAATAAGCTAGAGTGTTTGGAATCAATACATAGTTGGATCATAATACAGATCTACACTTTTCATTCACATCCCATTATGTGACCTCAAAAACTAAGAATCTGGGGCTTTAAACAGGTTTCTGAGCAAATGTTGAACCCAGTACCTTTTTGCTTCGAGGCTCTCAGCAATGTCGCCGATCACATCTTACTTAAACATTACATTTTGCCATTTCAGATAGTTCTGAGAAAATGTCTGAACCCAAAAACACACAAAGTGACCAATAATTCAAAATACAAAGAGCAACCCACAGTGCCATGAACTACATTGACACATCCTGTTTCATAATTGGGTCATTTGAAAAGGTTTCGGTGGACGTGGTGTGCTGCAGAACAACAAAAGTGGATGGTGATTCAGTAAAGGTTGAAAAATACTGGTATAGTTGTTTCACACTGAGTGACATTTTGTTCTGGAGATTGCTCCTTTTCATTGGGTTAAGTGGAAGCGACCCCTTTTCTGTTTGTCTTTTTATTTTTCCCTTTATACTTTGGGCCAAATAGATTAAAATACACACACGACGTCACGGAGATTCTTTGAAAAAAAAAAAAATTTTGCATGCATTTGCATCACACCACTGTCAATCAGACACAATGGTTGCAGGGGAATAAAACAGAGAAAGCCAGGCTCCGTCAGACTGAGTGAAAAGTGTGTGGACAGCCCGAGAGACAGAAATCTGGATCTGCACCAGAAATGTAAAGGACTGACAAAAACAGACATGCAGTGAAACCAGACGCTGACAATTCTATTTATGGAGCAATGGAGAAATGCATATTGATTTCTTTGCAAAATGTTTTATGCAAATATTATGGTCTAAACATGGCAAAGGTGTGATGAATTCAAATGTCATGTTGAACCAATAATAATGATTTGTATAGCAGTTTCTGTGGGGACTATTAATAATGCTATTGTAGTCACACATGCCCAGGGGTAGACACAGGTGACCGCGACAATTCCTCATAGCTTGCAGTTTATGTTTCAACACTTCAACCATTAACATGAAAGATGAGATATAAATTCAGTGACTTTTTTCTTGTTGTGGAAGTGGTACATCATTTCCATTCATAGAAAAGAAAATTCGGAGAATACCTTTTCTCCACAAAGATAAATACATTTCATGTTGAGGAATATTAGGACACATAGACTAATATGTGACACATAAACTCGTCATAAACTCGTCATTGCCCTTACTGGTGGACTACCATTACAATCTGAATCTTTATTATCAGCATAGAGCTCCTTCAGCTCTGACTACGGGTAAAGATAGTCGGGTTAAACCAGCTGAATTTCACCAAAGAAAGGCATGGCAACCGGATGGCAACGGAAATTCTCTGTGAGACATACTTACATAATTAATACGAAACTTGAGACATTCTAAAGCCAATGTAATGCAAATGCAAATACAAAATATATTTTTGTTGGAAAATATTTATCTATTTATTGTCCCATGGTCAGAAATAGACAATCTATACAATTCACCTTTAAAATAATGTGGCCAGGGTTAGTGTTTGAATGTAAAAATACATTAGCATTATGGAGAACATTTAATTGTTGATACAATACAATACAATACAATACAATACAATTTATTCTTGTATAGCCCTAGGTCACAACAGAAGTCATCTCAGAGGACTTAACAAAACCATTGAAATCACCAACACAGGTCAGAGAATCAACAGTTAAAACACATGAAGAATACAGTATAAAGCACACACAGAAGAAAATGTCCATACATGTTGTAGAATGCTAAAGTGTCCTGATCATCACCAATCCTTTCTGTTGGACACTAACTGTCCAACAAGACCCTCCTGCATCGACAAGGAAAAACTCTTAAAAAACCCAGTGGGAAAAAGTGAGAAACCTTGGAGGAGAACTAGGGAAACCCACAGGGAGGGAGACCCATATGAGAAAGGGATCCGCTCCTCCGGACGGACAGACTAATGATCTAGGACCTAAGCTAGCTACAGAACGTGGACCAACATGGACTCTCCATGTTGAGAGGAAGGCGTTTCGGTGTGTGGGGATAGGGAAGTCTGGGCGTTTATACTTAGACTGCTTCCCTCGCGAACTGACAACAAAGAGAATGGAAGAAAGTAGATGGAGGGATGGATATGTTTTTGGAAATGTTCAAATATTTAACAAAATACAGATGGATCAATAAAAAAGTCACGCTAAACTGCTTTGAAGACGAGCCCATTTGCCCTGTGGCTTTGACAGATTTCTCATTCTACCTCTGTTTTCTCTCCCAAGTCATTCCACAATTCCATCCATCTGATGCAAATAAGTTATAAGTACAAATAGTTCAAACAGACGCACTTGTCAAACAACAGGTGGTTCCACACGCGCACATGTATATTGAAACGGACGTGGCCTAAGGAGAGCATTAGCCGTGCGCAAAGCAGAGCAGATGTAGGAGGACGCCATCAAACTCGTCAGGTCACTTTGCATAATGAGGCTGACACGGGGCCCGCACTCCACTGCCACAGGACATCACAGGCACCGGCGAGAAAAGACGAATTTAGATCGTTTCCCTCGGCACGGATCAAAACCCAATCTGATCTGCCGACATACTTTGAAGATTTAAGGCAGTCGAATTCAGGAAAAAGCAGTATACGTATCATTTTTATAGATATATTGTGGACTATTTTATTGCACATAATTATATTCTGCTCAGACTATATTTTTAACCTTAACATGTGGCACACTTTTGTCTTTTGCACAATCTGAGTGATTCAATTTATGCCAAATGTGACATGTAAATTTCTCCATTGTGAGATCAATAAAGTTTATCTTATCTTTTTGAAGTTTAAATCCTTTTGCCTATAGGCTGAACATTAGGTGAAATGACTGATGAAGATACTGGTCTCTTACCTCATGTAAAAGCAGATGGTGAATGTTAAAATAGAAAATTGCTTTGAGTTATCACTTGTTAAAATGATAGGTGGCATAGAATGGTTTTATTTTACTGCTTAATGAGACACCACATGAGAGGCCCTACATTATTCGCAATGTTCAAATATTTGGCAATGTTTATATTCTTATAAAATCAGTAGCAACAATAAAATATGTTATTGTTTGCTTTGACTTGGTTTGTAAGATGTTATGTTAGATGTTAAGCCTTTAATTTTCACTCCTTGAATAAAGCATTGTAATATTTTTTTCATTCATTAAGATATAGGAGCACCTTTTGGGGGTTTTGTTTGAACTCTTACTTTATTTACCAAATGGTTGAGATGCAGTTTGATGGAAAAAGTGCCTAAAACCAAGTGAGAGGCTTCAAGTAGATAAAGTGACTCAACAAGTAATCTACCAAATGATTGAGGAAACCACGCAAATAACACAAAATAACCCAATGTCCCATTTTTAATAGACTTTTCTATATACTTTTTTCACATTTTCAGCCGCTCATCTCGGTTGGTATACTGAATAAATGTTCAAACCAGGGCCATGAGCACAAGAAAACAGTTTATCTATTTATTCCCCTCATGTATTTATTGCTGTTGCCATGGTTAGTTGTAAAAAACAAAAGAAGCATGGACAACCAACAGGAAGGCCTTCTCAGAGGAGCAGTATGTAAAAATCTGGCCAAAAGTGATACCTGACATAACGAGACCTTTTTTAGTTCTGTGGCTACATGTTACTTTACCAGTGAGAATACTGTAGCTTGACGCGGTGAGTTCTGGCAACCTGGATCACAGACTTTCTGATTGGTAAAATGGTGGAGGGCGGGACATCAAAATGAAAACAATAACAAAACTAATTTTGAAATCCAAATATCTGGGTTGAACTACTGTTATCAGTTAAAGATGTTTTTGAAAATAGCATGGTTTATTAATTCCTTTTGATAGATTAGGGCCATCTAAGGATGACATGACATGAAAATCTTACATATTAATACTTTAAAGCCTCTCTTTGAGTTTGGGTGTGGCCTCCTGCTCCCAGGCGCCGCCATCTTGTGGACACCTGTAGAATTACCATATTGCTTTAAGTACTAGTAGTCTATGACAGGTGGAGTTTGTAATTTTTTCCAAGCCATTTATTTTTGCGCTTAAAACCTCTGAAAGCGACCTGACTATGAAACTTAACCTACACCCTAAAGACATCTTTTTAAAGCCTGGAAATAATCAATGGCGCTGTGCTTTGTTAGCTGTAATTGATTTGTGAGTATGTGGAGTGACTGCTAATGAAAAGCACTGGCTGCAGTTGACCCTGAGCTTGACCCGCGCTGTTCCCTTCGCCAGCGTTAGTGCACAAATTATGGTAATCTGGTGCAGTCAGGTGAAACCCGGTATATGCCCAGACTTTGTACTGCTGTCGGCCAGACGTTTTGCCTTTTCCTCCACTTGTCGGCATCTCAACCCCACACATTTTCTTTTCCTCCCGCTGGTTCTTTTATTCGTAGCTCGTCTGGTTCAACTTCAATGATGTGGGGGGTGATTTATGTCCGTGCAATTGAGAGAAGAGTGGGCCTGATATAGGATGCACACCAAAGAGACCGCTTCAATGCTTCGCAAAAATGATGGACCAACCTCGGATCGGGAATGATTGCAAAGGCTCCGTGACATTTGAAGTATTCGGAGCCCCACGGTACACAATAATGATTGCAGTTTCATTTTCTCTCTGTGCGGGAAGGCATTTTTACTATGCAGAGTTACTTAAACTGCTGCCTAATATTTGGTTACTCGGGACAGACAGTTCTAGCTGTCTACCTGTAATTTTTAAGTCACTTTTTGTTCATTTGCATTCTCGGTTTTAAGTACAAAGATTTTAATTGAATCAAATTTGGGAAAAAATATGACAAAGTTTGATGTCAAATCCAAGCGAGGTGTGGAAACATCTTTTTAGCCCAAGTGAGATCAGAGTGAGATCATTTTTGCTTCTGCGCAATAATGACTAACTAGTTCAAGCAAAAAGTAAAACAAACAATTGAGTGTACTGTCTATCAAAACACAATCTAGACTTCATGGAGTCGCACAAAATCAAGTTTCACAAAATCACCCTATGGCCACTCATGACTTCAACATCATCCATATTACTGAGGGTCAAGGGAGATCTTTTTTTAAATACAGTACATAACTTTCAAATATGCTCCAAGCCATTCGTTTGCTACTGTATGTGCTTTTCTTCCATCAGGGAAATACCAGCTTTTTACATCAGACAACCTCTCATTCATCCATTAACACACTTTCATACACTGATGTACACAGATAATGGGCAGGTTAACGTGGGTCAGGTATAACCGCTCTATATAAAAAAAGTTTATGCCAAGAGCGGGATTTGAACTTCCGAACTTTGTAACAGAATGAAACAGAGCTGAAATTAATCGACAATTATCAGTATTTGAATCTTTGTAATTGCCCTACAGCTTCACCTTTACAACCCATTTCCCTAAATGGACATACAAGTCAAGTACTTCCACGTTGCGACTTTGCCCAGTGGTCCATGACAATAACTAGTATTTTCTATCCATTGATCTTGTCCCCCTCTCTCACCCACAGCACTTCCCTCATGCAGCCACAAGATGAGCAGTAGACCCCTAATGCTGTGATGTATCGGGGTGTCCACAGGACTTACGCCTGTCACGTCTACCTGCTCCTCTTCAGCCTCCAATACTAAAAAGCTGAATAATTTATTTCCACTAGCAGAGTAGTCACGTGGGCCTGTCTTCCACAGTGTATCAGTGGAAGGAATTGACTTCAACACTGTAAAAATGTTCAGATATTATTCCAATCATAGACATGAAATACCCTTTTTGTCAAACTTTATTAATTTTATTTTGTAGCTGGAACAGTGCATGGGTTATAAGTGCAAGACATTACTATTACTTTTAATAAAGAGCACAGCTTTATTGGGCTGATTTCCACCCGTTGTCCCACAGTTGTCCTACCTCATTCACACAGGTGTACTTCATATTGGAAGGAAACAGGAGGAACATGCAAACCCCACACAGAAAAGGAATCAAATCTGTGACCTTTTGGCTCTTAAGCACACACACCAACCGCTGCGCCACTATGCTACCCTTCAAATGTCATCATATGGTTCCTGGGGTGTTAGTTTTGTTTTCACAGAAGCCACAGTGGTCACACTCAGATTCCCAGGACAGCAATATCCCAAATACTAATCGGCCATTGCCTGATAAGTACCTTAAGTGCATCATTTTTCACGCATTAGTAATTTTACTTCATTAGTACAGAAACATCTGCTCTCAGTTTTGACTTTGGACTTAGCATCTCATTTGAAACATTTTACATGCTTAGCTCTTTAGATTAAAACTATAGGACACATAAGATCGTGTGCATCCTCAGAAAAAAAACTATACAAAATAACTATCGGAGTCTGAGTGGATATACATTTTTTCAGTGTTTGTGGACATTCGAAAAGATTGCATGTAAATGAGATGACACTTCTGGGTTCTCAGTGGACTTGACTTGTAGTAACCTCGTGAAGATGACTAATGCAGGTGGAACATATGGCATCTGTTTAAAAGTGTTTCTCCTTCTCCCCTCTGAAACCGAGTGCCTTGCATAGGGATGTAATTATTGAATGTCCTTGTGGCAAAAAACAAATCACAATTTCAATCATTGCTCTTACAGCTCTTTTCTATCTCCAATACATTTGCAATATAAAGCATAGCCGGAGACAGAATGTGCACATTACCCAGTCTGAGTAAATCAAAAATATGTTTGGACACCTCTGCATTTGACCTGATTCTTTGGGTGAGCCATCAGGATCCATCTCCAGCTAGTCCTAGCCAAGCGAAAAATTAACAAAGAGAGGAAACCCACCAAGACACATGGAGACACACAAACTTCTCAGCTCCTCACCTTGTGTATGGCCTTTGCCGGGCAGGGAGACTGTGTACGTCGCCCTCACAGTTTGCTTGTTCTTCAGCTGCAAGACACAGGTGTAGTTTCCTGCAGTCTCCACTCTGACGGGTAAAGGCACAGAGGTGGTGACGGAGCCCAGGCTGCTGCTGTCCATGGGCAGACGGACACTCTCATTCTCATGTCTCCAAATGACACTCTGCACTTGGGACAGCTCTGAGTATCTGCAGTCCAGCTCCAGCTCTGTGGACAACTTCCTGACGTTTACTAGAACACAGACAAATGTTAAGACAGTGGAGACGGGGAGCTGCTGATGTCCAAGCTCATGAACAACCACTGATCCAGCACGCTTCACCATCTCGTCCAGTTTTGTTGCTGGTGCTGTTTGCCAAGGTTACCGCAGCATTGAAATAACATAATTCGACTTTTAATAGTTTGGTGGAATGACTCCCGTTTTAGACTATAAATGAAAGTTTTACACCAGTCAAAATTGTAGGGAATAAATGAGAAGACATGTTGAAATGAACAGATAGAAGATACTAATGATATTTGAATACTTACCTAAACCAGAAGAAGGTCCTTTATTCGTCCCTATATTATTAATAGAATGGAACTCCTCAAATAAATAACCAACCATATTTCGCTTTTCTTAATTTTTCACAGTGCATCCTAAGCTGTACAGCTTTTGCTATTACATAGTCATTTCAGACCAGAGAATATCCTTTTTCCAATAATGGCAATCCGTCACATACAGTAGAGCCTTATGTCCTCGTTCCAGAATCAAACCCTAATTATTTAGATCAAAGTGATATAAAGCAAGTTATTTGCATTGTACTGTACAGACCTTGGCTCCTGTTAGCGTCTTTTATGTAGGGAATAACTCCAGGTGTCCAGATCAGCGTTTGAGTAGGTCCCATTTCAAGGTAACCGTAGTTCTAACCAGTACTTGCGAGTTTTTGCTGATTTCAGACTCATGGAATTCAGAGGAAGATCCCGTGAACAAAGTTGATCTCTATTCGCCTCATTCTCTATTTTCGGGCCAAATACTGTCATCATGTATTAACACCCAAAAACAAATTTTCTCCAAGTTGACATGAAACTAACACAAAAAGATGGCTCTCCTACTAAAAGCTTGAGGGAATCAAAGAAAAAACTACTCTGGGTGTATGAAGTAATCATGTTTAAACCAGAGAAAAGTCAAAAATCGTACGTAATACTTAGTTACCAAATGTAACTGTAGTTCTACGAATAGATGCGTAGCCCCTTAGCAGCACCTAAACTTAGTAAAATCTTCAGCCAAACCCTATTTGGGTAATGTAATATGGTGTGTACAGTTTAAATGGTTTAGTTTTGAAGGGCATTTTAAAGGCTGTTAATCACTTTTGAAAAAGGAGCAAAATCCTGATTGTATTTAAAACAAAACAAATTTGAAGTTTTATTGCCACACTCAAACAAGTTGGGGCACATTTTTGGCACAGCTCTACATGCACATATACACTATTTCAATCTGGACTGACTCAGACAAAGAATTAAGTAGAATAATATCGTGTCCAGTATCTCGATTTCTATTGAGCTACATTTGCATGAAGTATATTGGTTACTGATTGATTAGATCATCAGGCCTAGGTGATATGGTAATATATTATACTGTATTTATGGCATTTTGGTACGTGAAGTGAAGTGAAGGATATGGTTTTGGCACGTAGACTCCTGATAAATATTGAATAATGCAGGAAGGAATTGAATAGAGATTATGAGTTATGAATTCCCCCCGGGTCTAAACCCTGGTGGTGGAAGCTGAAGTGATGAGCAGACAACACGAAGAGTGATGTCACACAGTTGAGGCGGTGAAGGCTGAGGATGATGAGCACAGGCACAGGTGTGGAGTAGTGAGAGGATCAAGTGTAGCAGGTGGGAAAGTGACAACGGGAGATATTTCCTTTTGAAACTTTAACCCCATTTAACTTTGCATCCACAGTTTAGCTCCAGGATTGATACATACCCCTTAGTGCTCAAGGCGAGGTTAAACATATGGATTCTGACACATCATTTCAATCACACCTTGTTATTATCTTACCAAAAATATATTTGTATGCCCGTTTATTTGAGGCTTTGGTGCTTAGAACATTTCTACATCTATTCACAATCCCCGCCCATTTCTTTATACCTGTTGCTGAGATTATTAAATGAAAGACTGATTCACTAAAATTGAATTCAATGACAACGTTTCAGTTCTGCAGTTTGGCGGAAGTCAATGAACCTTTAGCGGATTTCTGTGATAGACTACTTAAAACTAAGAGTAGTACGCAATTTATCATTGTACGGTATAGTTTCATACTGATTACACCCAAACACTGTTGATATGTTGAAAAATCAAGTTAAATACTGCTTTTTTAAGAATATATATGTTTTCTTAGTTAACATTTTGTTTTTTGAGTGTGTGGTTTAGGAATAAGACACAACATTGCAAAAACATGAGTTGAGTTGAGTTTCGACTGCAGGGAGCACGCAACACGTTTAAAGGGTAGAGTGTGAATGCCGAAAAGGCCAAGGACGGATCATGAGTGATGACCTTAAAGGGGAGGTGAGATGAAAAAAAACAAAAACGAAACCAAGCACAATGGAGAGAGTAAGTTCAAAATAATATATATTCATTAAAGCAATTGGGCTGACTGTGACCGATGCTCCAGTGTCTCATCACAGCCAAATGAAAATCCATTGTAGAGCAATCATCTCGCACACGCTCACGCAGTTCTGATTAGAGTGATCACGGGCCCACATACTGCTGCAGTGGGAGGGCAGCAGGTATAATCACACATAACGACACTCATAATGAGGCGGGGGAAAATATAGGTGTCACATTATAGCTGACTACACTGCAAAAATACATAGGATAACATTATTTGAGTTCTGAAATAGGTTCCTGTGACATCACAACAATACAAGGAGCCTGTACTTTCAAATTGTGGTGGAGGAGGGAAGTTGAAAAATCTTTGTTTGGAACTGTCAATAGTCAAGATTCCTGGGTCAATCCACACTGCTTCTGTCAGCACATATAAATTATGGTCTAATTGATGGTCTAATGATTTTCTCATAAAATGTGCTTAGAAGTGGTGACAATATTCAAAAACATTCTGTGTGATGTTGCCCGGTAGAAAGAACTTCCAGAGATAAGATTGATATGACAGGTTTGTGATTCTAATTATTATCGAAGACTGATCTGAGAAAAAGAAAAAAAACATTTGGATATTTTTGTTCACTGCCTAATACAGTTGTATTGACACCTGCTCTCCAACTGGGACAAAATACAACATGAACACAACCAAAAGAATTATACAACAGATATTAGAATTTCAATTATGAAAAGTGTTGTTAAAAACATTGCAAAACTTGAAGATATGGCAGTAGAAGCCTGAAGTAAAATCAAATACCTTTTAAGAATATTTTAAACACATAAGTTAAAAATGTATGTGTTTAAATGTGTTGTATACAGTAGAATATACATTATTCATTATGTACATTATAACTACATAAAATGTACATATATATTTATATATGTCCGTATTTATAAGATTATGTATCTATAATCTTACATAGATACATAAGATGAAACATCCACAGAAGAGCAGATATTTCCAGATTTCCAAATCCACGCACACCTCCTCCAGCTCACCCTGTGTAATTTTAGCAGCCTATTTTTGAGTTAAATTCATAAAATAACTTTACTTTTGATTACCTTGCAGACTCCTTTTACATGCAATTCCAGTTTGTACATGAGGTATGAGATGGGGAATCCCTGAAAGATAAGTCTTTCTTATCTTAAAAGCTTTTCAAACTGGACTTTGCCTTTCGCTTGCATCTGAGTATTGATACTTCAGACAGTTGGAGCGAGGGGCCCAAGTGCGACCAGATCTGCACAAAAGCGCTCACATTACCATTCTGAGATCATATTTTTGCAGTGCAGCTGTGATTGTATGTGTATGCAGGTGATGAGGGCAGATGTATGGAGCAGCCGCTGACAGTGACAGTGAAGGATAGTCCTGGTCACGTCTGAGCCCATGTGATGGATGTCAGCTCTGTGGTGATTAGTAAAGCTTCCCAAGGCCCCCGGTGACAAGGCACTGTTTGTGATACCGCTTTGGTAAATACAGCAAAAAAATAAAACTAAATCAATGACAACAGAGGCAAGTTATTGGTGGGTTTAAGTAAGGATGTAACAATGACATCATATCGGCGTGTACAAGTTTTTCTTAATTGCAGCATGAGAAAAACCGACCAAGGTCATGCCGCGCTCCCCATTTCAGAGCAGCAGTCCATACATGAATAATTGATGTTGATAAGGAGCTATGCATATTTTTGGCCACACTAAATTCAAGATTCAAAGCTGACAGAAAAACTGCACATGCTCTACTTGTACGTTTTGTATTTTTGACAGCACAAAATAGGTTGCATTCATGTTCTACAATTCTCAGTTGGAGGGCAGTTGCCAAAGCAGCTCTCTGGGAAAGAAGGTATTTTTGAAATGTGGAAAAAACAAAATAACCAAATGTTAGAACCAGAAACATTATGTCGCACCTGTAACCCGATTTATTTTTGAGTTCCTTCAGATTGAACAAGAGGAGACAATGCTTATTAGTTGATTTGTATCGATGTGCATAAGAATAGAAGATAGTAATTAATGTTTATTTATATACCGCCTTTCACAGACCAGAGTCACAAAGCGGTTTACAATTGTTATTTTTGGGCACTTGTCCTCTCACTCCACACAGAGATGGGAGCGGGGTCGCCAGTACAGGAGGCGCATGCCAGACCTATTGTACATATTTTTAGTGGTAGGGGAAACCGGAGTACCCGGAGGAAACCTACGCAGACACAGGGAGAACATGCAAACTCCACTCAGAAAGGCCCTGGTCCGGCCGGGATTCGAACCCAGGACCTTCTTGCTGAGAGGCGAGAGTGCTATCCACTCAGCCACCGTGTCGACCCAGTGATGTCATCACTGGAGATATAAATGACACATGCCTAAGATATAGCGACCAGTAACAATGTGGAAGTAATGACGCCAATCTATTTTTAAAATGGCCCCTCCCATAGGAAAATGTGAAAAAACACACATTTGCCCATGCGATAGCGGGCCCGAGCCCCATTAATTAAAACGAGTATATTCACAATATTTAGACCCTAGATTATATGTACTGATAAAGATGTGGAACCACTTTTGTTTCATTTGGATTGGCCCAGGAATGAGAGAGTCTGACTTTTGATAGTTGCCATAGTAACCACCATGTTTTAACTATAGGCTGTTTAGAATGTTATCTCAGCAACACAACCTATATGTTGGACATGTTTTTTCCACACAAAAGAATACCCTCAATATACCTCGGGTAATATTAACTTATCACCAAGCTTAAAAAGCAATCAAATCATTTAAAATCTTCTTTTTACCAGCTGATTTATTATTTCTTAAAAATATATCTATATGTGTTTTTCTTTTATAGTCCATTACAATTTTATGTATAACAAAGAGAACATTTTCAATTCTAACTGCTGAATGTAGATAAGTCGACGACCAAAGCACACTAGAATCCACTTATAATTATCAGCTGAACAAACGCCAGCAGGAACATGGCGCTCCAGTTTGATCCAATTTTATGTCTACTGTTTCATATTAGCTGAGTTTAATGACTTTATTGGCAGCTCTGACCCACAATCATATAATATGATGTGGGTGAGACGTGTGTTTACCTTTGGGTGCTATTCCCAGCCGGTAGCCAATAAAATAAGTATTAAAATGGGATTGTGGTTCTCAGCTATACTGCTTTTTATTCACAGGCTCAATTCAATTCAATATATTTTTGTATAGCCCTAAATCAGAAAAGCAGTAATCTCGTGGGACTTTACAAAGTTGATAATTAAACAGTTCAAATATAGGAATATCAATATTAGCAAAGACAAACTGTAGGAGCCATTGTAGGTCCTTAGAGAGCGGGATGACCACAAATGTCAATAAATATCTATAAATGTCCTTTAATGTCCCGGATGATCACTGTCCTTAGACCCTCCCCTCAACCCAGACTGTGTTTTATTAGTCCAGTTTTACTAGCCTTTTAACCACGACAGACAGCATTCCACTATCATTACTGATAGTGGAATGCATTATCAGTGATGGCATTGTGTTGGTTTAAGATAGTCCACAGCTATCCAAATAGAGTTAAGAATCACTATTTATTTACTTCTGCTGTTGTTTGCTTTGAAGTACTTTTGATGTAAAACAGGCACAATTCCTTCTCTGAGGTGACATTTTAAAGGTGGATCCGAGATACTGGAAGAATACAAAATCCTCTGAGAGAATCAAGACTGCAGACATGACATTTCAATAAATACACACCGATGGCCAGAATGGTATGAGAAAATAGATAGCAGTTTAAAAAGGCTAACAGTTTATAATATAACATTAGGACTTTAGGACGTCTATTCCAGGGAGGTGAATTGCAAATATTAAATTTGACAACGCTGCTATTACGATATACTAGAAAACACAAGATGGACCAATCAAGAACCAAAATATTCTTCAGTTGGTGAAAAAAAATACATCTTGGAATATAATCAATTCAACATTAGTTGAACATATTTTGCTTTTCTTAATTTTTCAGTCTTTCCTATGCACATGTGTGTTAATAATTTGGGTGATACACCATACAACACTCAAAATAGCCATTTCGTGCACTGAGCTGATGTCACCACTGATCTGTGCTTCTCTGCCTGTGAGCCCACCTCCCCCCGCCCGCACGGTGACGTAGCAACACGCTAAGTTCAGAGGTAAACAAGAGCTAACTGTACAGCTTTCGCTGTTACAGTCCTTTCACACCTGAGAATAAACTTTTTCCAACAATGGCAATCCGTCACATAGAGCCCTATGTGCTCGATCCAGAATCAGACCTTAATTATTTAGTTCACAGTTACAATTAAGTTAGTTGCATTCTACTCAAAGACCAAGGCGTCCTGTTAGCGTCTTTCATGTTGGAAAAAACACCAGGTTTCCAGCTCAGCTTTTAAGTAGGTCACGTTTCAAGATAACCGTAGTACTGGAAAAGTCTTTGGTGGTGTCACCGTCCCTCGCAAAAAAGATCTGTGAGTTTTGTTGCGGATTTCAGACCCGCGGATTTGAGGCAGATCCCTGTGAACTCTGACACATATTTACACCAACAACACATTTTCTCAAATTGACATGAAGCTAACACAAAAAAGCACAGATGCTTCTATGGACCATACGCTGGACTCGGAGAGAGGCTGCATGAGCTGCACAGACGGCTCTGATTCGCTGGTTCAGTTTCTCCTCGCTGTCAATCCATGACGCTTTTGATGTCACAGATTGTGCCACGTCACGATTTGAATCAGCTCGTTACTGCACCTCCCAGAATGAAAGAGAAAGATCGCTCTCTATCTAAAGCTTGACAGAATCAATGAAAAAACAACTCTGGGCATGTGTATTAAGGCCAAATAGCGCTGTAATCATGTTTAAACCAGAGAATAGTCAAAAAGTGTAATATGGGCCCTTTAAACCCAAGCTGATATTTACCTTTGACTACGGTTAGCAGTGTGCGCAGACTGAAGGCGTTATCGTTACTGAACACGTCACAGATGTACAGTCCGCCATCTTTGAGCTTGGGAGTGAGGAGGAAGGAGAAGCTTCCGGCCTGAGCGTCATGTGGGGGTCCGGCCAGCTGCAGCCTGTTGCTGTGCTCGGTGGTCTTGGTGAAGCTCCTCCAGCGGTCGTACTGATGCACCAGTCTGCTCGACCGGTTCAGGCCCGAGGGTTTCCAATACAACAGCACGTAGTCTCCGGGAGTGGAGGGACAGGTCAAGAGGAAGACGGACTGGGCTAGAGCAGCCGAGGAGATCTCTTCACCTGTGGGAAGTATCAGAAATAGATAGCTATACAAGTGATCTGGACAAACTTCCAGGTTGCTTTGGTGCGTTAGGATCCCGTCTCTGTGAGGTTGATTTTCCACAGAACGTCCAATTACTGTCAAACCAATGTATAATTGGTTTATAATAATATAGAATGGTATGATTGAATTGACGAGATGGCACTTTAAAGGCATGTATAAATTATAACTTTTTAGAAGTAATAGAATGAACTTTAGGAGTTTTTTATGCTCGACTTCTGCTAATTCTACAACAAGCTATACATTTGAGTTTACAGTTTTATACTTTGCTTCTCTATCAAGCAAAAAATAGAAATTTCATATTATATTATCATTATAAGTATAGAGTTGTGCTATATTTAATATTCACTTGATTTGTGTTTGTGTGTGCTCCTCATTCCTACTGTTCTGTAACTTGTGATGCAGCACAGCAAATTCTCTACTGTGGGACTAATGAAGTATTTCTTTATCTTAATCTTAATATAAAATGCCATGCCTCATTCATTTACTTACTTCTTTTGAAGCTCTTTTATAACTCTTGAGCTCTGACAAGATTGGACAAGAAGGAATTGGAATGAGAACATCACTTTCTATTTAAATAGTTTAAAATAGTTTTTTAAATGTTTTGCAAATAACCACACATTGCTGTCTTCATCTTTTTTTAAAACGTTTAATATTTTCTTAGCCATCCGTACACTCCGCTTAATGATCATTTCACTGCATGTAACGTCGGGGTCTGGTCCCTGTGTTAGTGATTACAATCGATGCGATCGGTTGAATTCCATCCGACCAATCAGAGAGCGCGGGAGGTGGGTGTTGTAGTTAGTTGTGGGTGATGTCAAGAGTTTGCGTCGTTTGTAGGTTGTAGTTTGGTAATGGCGAAAAATGCGATAGTAAAGTATTCCAGTCTGGTTCTATCAAGAAATTGAAGCCGGAGCAAGAGGAATGTTTAGCAAATGTAATTGCTGGCAAAAATTGTGGCGCTACTCCCCACAGGCTCCGTTAGCGGCAAAGGAGATGGCTAAAGCTAGGCTAAATGCTAACGACTCATTCGGGCGTATTAATTAAGTGACGGTAAACTCAGATCCAATCGTTTCAATCTGTAAAAGGAGTTAACCCCTTCCACCTGTTAACTGAGCTCAATGGAGCGCCTCCAGATCTTACAAAATGTAATTTGTACTGTGGTGTGGTACGACCAGACAAGTAAGGAACCCAGTAGTCACTATACTACTCTTTAGGTTGAGAGCTGATTAGCTGAATCAGGGAGGTCCTCACTTTGTCCATCTTCCCTCTGAAAAAGCTTATCTGAAGATAGGGATAGCAAACTGTTTCGGATGGATTTCGTTGGTCCTCCAGCCATAAGGTATCCGACTTTAAAAGGAGTCAAATTTATATAGAAATTAACAAAAAAGTTGATTTTTGGACACTGCATCTCTTTTAACGCCTGAGTATCTTCCACCACTGCATTGAAATAAAATATTTATGAATATTTAAGTTACTCTCACCACAGAGGAAGAGCACGATGTGAGAAGCCTCAGATAGATGAGTAAACACAATGTCGGCGGAGGAGGGGAGAGAGTGAAAGTGTGTGAGAGCTGATAGCAGAGGAATCCTGACAACAACACGGATTATTCCCCTCTGCGCTCAGACGTCCTCGGCCACTCGTACTTTCTGCCGCGGCCGATTAGCGATTAGCGCTGACACAGGACTTGTGCTACAAAGTCACTCACCGTGCACGATGTTGGCGAACGAGGCCACTCTCTCTGCTGAGAAATAGAGAAACGCAAGTGATGAATTATGCATTAACATACGGACTATAATATCCACTGTTGAAAGGGGATGGATTTCCTTGTGAGCTCTATAGCCGACTTAGGAATCCACTCTTTAAACGCAGAATACTTTGAGGAACTGAAGCTACGTGTTTAAATAAGTAATGCTTTTGGAGAGTCTACAGCGAAGGACGTGTTCTAAAGACCTGTGTTCTTTCAAGTTTGGTCAAATTTGAAAGCTTTTATATAAGTTGTCAGATACATGTTAAAAAAAAGCTTTATTTTGACAGGTTTTGTGCCCTGCTTTTTATGATTTACTTGTTTGATGGTTTACCTTTTGTTGATTTCTTCAGTCCTGCCCCACTGTGTCACTCTAAAATGATTGGCTTGTGTGAAATATTATTTGATATGTAAGTAACAAAATATATGGTGAATTAATGGCCTGCCCCATCCCTGTGCCACCACCAAAAGGAGGTGTAGAATATTTAAAAATTCATCAGCTGCAACCACTGCCGGGTGATTGGAAAAAAAGAAATAAAGAAAAGAAAGAAAATGAATTCCCCAAACTATTTTATGGGAAGTACTTTTGTTTTAAAAGGTAGAAAATGACTTAGTGTGACATCATAGTGGTATAAATACGTCATATTATCATAGGACTGATTCAGAAGCTGACAGACAGAAGTGTGGCACGTTGGTGCCAGAAGTTCCTGGTATTAGTGTAGATGGATCTAAAAACAACTCCAGCTCTATTATTGATGAGGAAATAATGTCAAAACATGGTTAAAAGCTCAGAAGATTTTGCATCATACAGAATGTCTCCTATAAATACCCTGTGCTCCTCTCCTCTTGTCCATTGTTTTTCTTTTATTTTGTAACTTGAATAACTATATACATATCTTGGAATTTAATGAAGTCTTGCAATTTGAGTTCTCTTTTGTGTTCTGCAATCACGACAAAAACTAACAAGTACGTTTGCGACAAAAATCACAAAATGATTTCAAATGTCATGTATGGTGATTAAGATTTACAGGCTTAAACAGGACCATCTTCAAACCAATAGTCCAGGCATAAAAGACAAAAAATAAGGTAAATACAACTTTGCATATCTCAATGAGAGTTACAGAGAGTTTTAGATGTTTTCTGAAAGATGATTATTCACAACATATGCCCCATTAGCCAGGTCTTAAACGAGGTCACACAACATAAAGAGAAGACACTTATAGATTCTATAATGAGGACATGTTAAAATGAACAGAGTGGAGCAGCCGTTCCCAAACTCGAGTGCGCTGCAGCCCCTTACTGATCAAAAACATCTCACGAGCCCCCCACTAACAATTCACTCTCATGTAATGTTATTTTTCCTTTTAGATTTACATACATATGAATAGTAAGAATAATTTCAGTTGTTCAAATCATTAATTTACTGTATATTGCAATAGCACATATACTTTTAGGGCAGAGCTATTCCATTATTTTTTTTCCCATGAGCGAAACTTTTATAGCAAAACTATTGGCTCATAAAAGATACAAAAGATTGCCTCCATATGAGTGATGTTAGTTATTACTGACAGAACAATTTTATATATAGAAAAGTTTAGCCGTCTTAAAGTTTCACTGAGTGCTTATTTATGTTGCATCTATAGCACATTCATTTCAGTGTGTGATGTCAACTGTAAACTGTATTATCCACATTCTGATATAAATCTCGATTGTTGTGTGGACAACCTTTGGAGGCTCCCTTTATGGTGGCTTTTAGTATTTGCTTACCGTCCACAGTTATGTCCACATTGAAGGCAAAGAAAGCACTTGAACTGTTGCCTCTTGGGTAGACCATGCACACATAAGCTCCATCATCATAGTTCTGGACTTGGGGAAGTTTGGCTACTGTTCCGAAATTTGGCCTCTTCTCTGTCCTTAGGGAGAGGTCTCCGGGCGCCGCCCAACTGATCTTCCTGATGCCGAGTTCGGGCTGGACATCTGCGATAAGGCGCAGAGTGCTCAGCTGTGGGATGGGGCAGGGTGGGACCACTATGACTGAGGAAAAGAGGGTCGTAAAGAGACTGTGGTGCAAGTGCATACAACAGTAAATTCCACCAAGTGTTTCTGCACCCTAAAAAACAGATATTTACCAAATTTTTGGTTGTTTGAACCAATTTAGTTGGCGGTTATGAGTCCAACCAAACTTTTGGTTAAAACAACTATAAACGTTTGTATTTTCAAACTATCCATCTATATTGGGCATGACATTAAACAATACTGGTCAGAATGACCAATTTAGTTGGCTGACCACCAACAATCAAACTCATACTAGAAGTGTCTTGCATAAGGACACAACAGCAGTTTACAGCACTTGACTTTCACAGAAAGGGCGCTATAAAAGATACATGAGCAACTTGTCAAGATGAATTGTTCACAAGTTTTGGTAGAGCGCAGAATAACACAAATTCGGACCAATATGAGGTAATCTAATGTGTTTTAGAGTGTGTAGTCTTGATAAAGTAAAGACTAATTTAGACTCTGTAATGATAGCAGCTCTAGAATAAATCAATAACATCAACAGAGCCAAATTCCAGAAAGACAGGTTGGTGGATATATTGAAATGTATGGTGATCACACCATAACAGGGAGACTCTAAAAGTCATTCTAAAATGAGCAACTGATAGAAAAAAAAAAGAAACAAGTACAGCTAAAATTAGAAGGTCAAAGACTAATTTCTTAAAACAAGAATTTCACAGTTAATTTATTGTTACTAAGTGTCAATTGCCTTGTGTGATGATGAAAACAAGTTATCCACTCTGTCAAGTGTCCCACTTATGCCCACTGTAAACCACTACAACTTGCCACTTAGTGCTGTAATGACCACTTTGTAACATTACATCATGATCCTTTTGTTTGACTTGTGTTGTCATACTTTGGAGTACAGCCAGTAGAATTATTCTCTCCTTCAGAACCGTCTGGCGTCTTTTGACCAGACACATGTACAGCCCCCCATCCTCCTTCTCCGGACGTAGACCCAGAGAAAACACACCAGATTCCTACGGTGGAGACAATGAATATTTGTTAAATTAATTTAAAGATTACACTGTAAAACAATTTGGATATATGGTAGTAAATATTTGAATCTGGTATTAACCTAAGTCAAGTAAATGTTTCCTTTTGGCCCAAATTAACCTTCTAAAGTTTTGTACGCACATACTGTATAATTGATGCAGTTTTAATAGAAAGACTGTATCGGAAAAGTAAGATTATAGGCAAGGCAAGGCAAGGCAAGTTTATTTATATAGCACAATTCATACACAAGGCAATTCAAAGTGTTGAACAGAACAAGAAAGCATTAAAATCATAAATAATCACAGTACATTAAAAAAAGATAAAAATATAAAATCCCTCAGTTGTATGCACAGCTAAACAGAACTGTTTTCAACCTTGTCTTAAACATTGTCAGAGAGGAGGCCTGTCTCACATCTTCAGGAAGACTGTTCCAGATTTTAGCAGCATGAATCTGAAAAGCAGCCTCCCCATGTTTAGTTCTGACTCTGGGCACTAACAGGAGTCCAGTCCCTGTGCTCCTCAGAGTCCGGGCTGGTTCATATGGCACTAACATGTCACTAATATATTTTGGTGCGAGGCCATGGAGAGATTTGTACACAAGCAGAGCTGTTTTAAAGTCTATTCTCTGAGCCACAGGAAGCCAGTGCAGGGACCTGAGGACCGGACTAATGTGGTCGTACTTCCTGGTTCTAGTCAGGACTCGAGCTGCTGCATTTTGAATGTACTGCAGCTGTTTTACAGCCTGTTTGGACAGACCTGTGAGCAGGCCATTGCAGTAGTCTAACCTACTGGAGACAAATGCATGGATAAGAATCTCCAAGTCTGCTTTAGACACTATGTTTTTGATCCTGGCAATGTTTTTTAGATGGTAAAAAGCTGCTGATGTTACTGATTTGATGTGGCTATTAAAATTTAAGTCTGAGTCCAGTATTACCCCTAGATTTCTGACCTTGTTTGAAGGTTTTAGGGAGAGAGACTGTAGATGACAGATGACGCTCTCTCTTTGTTTCTGGGGACCAAAGACAATCATTTCAGTTTTGTCTGCGTTTAGCTGAAGGAAGTTGTTTTGCATCCACTCACTGATCTGTTGGATACAGTGAAGGAGTGAGTCCACTGGTCCATGTTCTCCTGCAGTCAGTGAGACATAGATCTGAGTGTCGTCTGCATAGTTGTGATAGGACACTTTGTTTCTGCGTATTAACTGACCTAACGGCAGCATGTAGAGATTGAACAGAAGAGGTCCCAGGATCGACCCCTGTGGTACTCCACAGGTCAGGGCCATATGATCTGAGACACAGTCTCCAATCTCCACAAAGTACTTCCTGTCTTCAAGGTAAGACCTAAACCAACTTAGGGCGGTGCCAGCGACTCCAACCCAGTCCTCTAATCTCTGTAAGAGGATCTCATGGTCGACGGTGTCAAAGGCAGCACTCAGATCTAACAAGATTAAGATTGAGACTTTGCCTGCGTCAGTGTTCAGCCGGATATCGTTTGTAACCTTGACAAGAGCAGTCTCAGTGCTGTGGTGGGGTCTAAAGCCGGACTGAAACATATCAAATGAGTTGTTGATTATAAGAAATCTAGTAAGCTGTAGGTAGACAACTTTTTCAAGGACTTTCCCCATAAATGGCAGATTTGAGATGGGACGATAGTTGTTAAGTACCGTAGCATCCAGGCTGCTCTTTTTTTGCAGGGGCCTGATGACTGCAGTTTTCAGGGCCTTTGGGAATATTCCAGAATGAAGGGACATGTTTACTATCTGTGTGAGTGAAGGTAACAGACTGCTCAGAACAGACTTCAGAAATCTAGTGGGTAGTACATCCAGGCTGCATGTGGAGGAGCTCAAACTGGAGATTATTTCTTGGACATTTTTATCATCTACAGGTGCAAAGTAAGTTAGCTCAGAGAGCCTTTCTGGCTGTTGGATGGTTATCTGTGGATTGGAGACATGTCATTGAAAAAGTGTGCAAACTCATTGCATTTACGTTTGGAAGTTAGCTCTAATGGCATCTGAACAGGGGGGTTTGTTAATCTATTAACTGTTGAAAACAGAACACGCAGATTGTTACTGCAGCCTTCAATCATTTCAGAAAAATACCTTTCTCTCGTACTACGTAGCACCCGGTTAAACTCGCACAACTTATCTTTGAAGATCTCGTAATCTACCTGGAGGTTGGACTTGCGCCACTTCCGCTCGGCCCTCCGGCACTTTCTCTTTTGTGCCCTGACCGAGTCTGCTTTAGCCCACGGCGCCTTCTGCTTATTTTTCACTATTTTAACCTTCACAGGGGCAACTGTATCCAGAACATTCAAAACACTAGAGGTGACAGAGTTAAACAGTTCATCTACAGTAGAATACGATGCATTCTCAAAGTTTATCATTCCCATAAATAGATCACTCGTATTTTCATTTATGTGTCTTCTTCGAACAGTTGCAGAGTCCACTGGTGGTTTGTTAGTGAAACACATGTCAAAAAATACACAGAAATGATCCGAAAGAGCAACATCGACCACGCTTATATTTGAAATATTCACCCCCTTAGTAACTAACAGGTCTAGAGTGTGCCCTCTGCTGTGGGTGGGGCCACTCACATGCTGAGTGAGACCAAAGGTATCAAGTAAAGAACTCAGCTCTTTTGCATTTCTGTCATCAACATTATCCACATGAATATTAAAATCACCTGTAATAACTAAACTATCAAAATCTGTGCATACAACAGAAAGCAACTCGGTAAAATTATCAATAAAACTGTGACATGACTGCGGTGGCTTGTATAGGACTATGACGAGTATTGGAGGAGATTGTTTTTGTTGTATTTTAAAAGACACATATTCAAAAAACGGAAACTTCCCAAGAGACATTCTATGGGAGACAAAGTGGTCTCTGAAAATGGCAGCTAAGCCTCCTCCTTTTTTGTTTTCCCGTATTTCAGATTCAAATTTGAAATTTGGTGGTGATGCTTCTATTAAAACTGCATTTTCTGTATTTTGGTCAAGCCATGTTTCAGCCATGAACATAAGATCAAGATTATAAGAACAAATAAAATTATTGATTAAAAAAGACTTGTTAGAAAGAGATCTGACATTTAGCATAGCAAGTTTCAAAGTTTCAGTATCAGCGGTTGTGGTCGGCTGATTCTTACACGGAACAAGAATTAGATTTTCCAGGTTAGACTGATTAACTCCAGATGTCTTTCTGTAATGTATTCTTTGTGTTATCACTAAGGGAATGGCACAGGTGGCTTCATGACAGGGCCCCAGCCGGGTCTCTCCTCTAACTAGACTGCCAGTGGCTGCGAAGCAGAGACCCTGTGCATCCTAGGGAGAGGAGGGAGGAGGATGGAGAGGTGGGTGGTTCTTGGGTGTTGGACGAGGGGGGGTTGGAGGTGGATGGGTGTTAGGGGAGGGGCAGGAGTTGGGAGATAGACGAGGGGGGAGTGGAGGTGGAGGGGTTCTTGGTGATGGGAAACGAGGGGGGGGTGGGGGTGGGGCTGGAATGGTTTTGGGGTTAGGGGAGGGACCTGTGGATTTTGCGGGTGAATTCGAGTTAGAATTTGAGGGACGGGTGGATTTTGTGGGAGAATTTGAGTTGGACGCCCTAGGTGGCTTTGGAGGTACGTATGGGGAGAAGTTATGAATGTTAGATAGGACCCTTGATCTGGCTACAGTGGGTGTGAGAGGAATATTCTTCATCGCCGATCTTATCATGCCTGCAGAGTGTTCCGGTAAATCCAATAGTGATGGAAAACACAGGGAAAGGTCGTCCTCATGTTCCTTAGATGGAGTGGATGTAGCGGGGGGGACCCAAACCGGGTCCATGGAAGGTGATGAGGGAGTCTTTGGTGGAGACGGAGGTGGTTGAGAGGCCCCCAGTGCAGGCCTGACTGTAGCCTGTAGCAATGGGGGGGGCTTCACGGGAGCTGTAGGTGGGGAAGGTGCTGCTGAAGATGATGCAGCAGCCACAGCTGGTGCTGGTGGTGCTGATGCTGAAGGCGCTGATGACGCTGTGGCAGCCACTGCTGCTGCTGGTGCTGGATCCTTTGCTGATGATGATGCTGGTGGACGTGTTGAGTTCTTTTGAGGCGGTGGAGGTGCCGAGACCTCTGGGTTCCGTGAGGGTCTCGCCCTTTGTATCCTCCTCTCTTTCAACGGCTGAACGCGCTGCGCAGGCTGAGGTCTTAAGGCAGATGCAAAGTTATCCATCAACACTTTTACTCCGTATTTGTTCAGATGTGGGCCTCTCCCTTCAAAGAGCTCGAGCCTATTCCAGAACAGATTGAAGTTTTCAATGAATCCAAGTCCTCTGCGTGAACACTCATTGTGTAGAAATGAATTTAACTGGTACAGACGGCTAAACTTCTCGATTTTTCCATCTGCATTTGGAATGGGGCCACTGATTAGCACGTTTAACTCAATTTTTTTAAGGTCATCCAGCAGCAGAGTAAAATCTCTTCTCAACTTCTCGGTGGATTTCTCATAAATGTCTACTGCCCCTGTGTGTATCAACAATGTACTTACATCCTTGGTTTGAGATAAAACTTTTGGCACCAAAGCTCTTATCTCAGACACTCTGGCTGAGTGCAAAGAATAAGTCTGTACAAAGTTCAAAGATACATTCCGAATGGCTGAATCTCCAAGCAGCAAACACCGTGGTCTTCAAACAGAGCAGCATAACGATTTGAAGTTTTGCAAACATTTCATGGCAGAATTCCACTCCCATTGTCATTCTTAGCTTTGTCAACTTTGGGTTTAGCGCCGCATTTATTCCAATAGTTCTCTTTGTTGATTTTGGGAAAAGTAATTACGTCATCATAACTTACATTTCCAGTCTGTCCATTCATTCCATTTTCACACATTGGAAGAGTCGGGTTAAGTCCCATTTCTGTTTCCAAAATATCCATCCGTTTTTGAAGAAATTTGAGCTCATTTTCCAGAGAGCAGCAGCCATCGCAGATTTGTCTTCGTTTCTTCCGTCCGGACATGATTAATGTTGACAAATTTCACAAAGCTGAAGTCTGCAGAAGGAGTAATCCGTGTTTTGTAGAATAAAAATGTAAATAAAGCGATTAAAAGAGATTACAAAGCGAAGCAAGCAGCGGAGCACCAAGGAACACGTCTACACACTTCCACTGCGGAAGTGTGTAGATACCTGAAACAGTTTTAAAACAGGAGCCACAACTAAAACGGGAAATAAAGGTAAATCGATACTTCTGTTGTGTGTCAAATTTACTTTCTACCTTGTTTCAAATATGTTTATTGAGAAGCAGTTCAGATCATGGCATGAACATGATACAGATAAGCTTCTTTCTTTATACAGACATATACAAACACACCTCCCTCCACTTCCTCCCGGGTGCTTCATTGCTTTTAGATGAATCAGTCCATACTTTGCAAATATAACCAAAACGGCTTCCAAATCCGTTCAAAATCGTGCAGTTTGTTATTTTGCATATAAATTTACTTTCTATCTTGATCAAAACATTCCCATTCATTTTAGATCAAGGCCAATAATATTAGTACAATTTATTTCATTATTATTCCACTGTAAGTCCATTATGCAGAGTTCTGTAATCTAAAGCGTCACCAAAAATGTAGGGCTTCAAGTGACAAAACTAGAACTGCAACCATTGAGCAAAGATACCAACCAAGAAAACAACATAAAAAATTGTCTCCATATGTTTTTCTTTTTATTATTTTGTTGGAAACCTTTTACAGTTTGCCGTTATTGTGTGCAATATAGCTTTAGTGATGGACATGAGTTTCCGTTGAAATGTTTTTCTTTGATTATCTGCTCCTCGGTCTTCTGGATTAGAACCTTTTTTAATCAGTAAACTACCAAAACACCATCCTTCAGCTTAATCTTACGTTCACCTACAGTCAATATTGGCCTCTCTACCTGGAAGTTGTGGTCAGTCAGCTGCATATAGTCCTTGGACGCTCCACCGGAGAATTCCTTCCTTTCGTTTGCCGAGAGCACGAGCCTCCATCGATTTGTCCCCAGTGGCTTCACCATCCAGTTCACAGACACCGCTCCTGTCGCTTTCTCATCAATACAGACTAATGTGGCCAAGGTGCCCTCCCGCGCCACCACTGCATCACTCCACTCTGAGAAGCACAAACATTTATCCACAATGTTTCAGGCAGGAAGAAGTCATTATGGAACCAGTGGATAGCAACATGTTTGTATCATGTATGTGTGTATATGTGTGTATGTATGTGTGTATGTGTCTTGGGAGGGAACGCTGTATGCATTTGTTGCACAGAATCCATTTTTTCTCAGAGGGGCTGAATGTTTCAAGGTGTTTCAAGGTGCGGCATTGCAGTAAATGTATCTACTTTGCATTTAGTAATTATCATTTGCTTTTATTCCTCATATTCTTCATTTCTAAAAACAACATAATGCAACATTAAAGACTTGTTGTGATTGCGTCTGTCAGTTGTGCTGGAAAGTTTACACGGCCATCCAGATATTTCATAATATGGCTTTACACAACCACAAATAATGAGTGAATACAATGTAGGCCATTGTTTCTGAACATACATGTTAAAGGTATATTTCAAAAATGAGGCGACAGTGGCTCAGTTAATAGAGCATTGGCCTGAAGGTCGTAGGTTCGAGCCCACCACGAGATCTACTTCACGACTCCCACTGATGTCTGCTGTCGTTGTGTCCTTGGGCAAGACACTTAACCCCACTTTGACTGAAGCCCCAAGATCAAGGCTCCTGTGGACTCGCCACCTGCAGGAGGATCAGTGAGGGGCTGCTGCTCTGTGGATTGGGTGCAGCTCTGACTGCCACCCCCCGACCCAGAAATGTGTAAAGGGGATGGATTTAAAAAAATGACAAAAAACAGCCCACTGACTTTGAGTCTTTTTTTACCAGGTTTCCAACTGCTCCTTTAAATTACAAAGGGAAACATAAGCAAACAAGCCATTTCATTCATGTCAAATTGTGCCAAATTACCCATCTATCACAGTTTATGACGGTAACAAACAAAGAGTGTGTGATGTGGAGTAAGATGAAGGAGGACTCAACAGCAGCAATGCAAAACTAATGATGTAATGAAATAATAGTCCAAGGTAAAAACAAAACTTAAAATTCAAAACTCAAAATAACCAGGAACCAGGAACAGGACAGAACGGAACAGACATGTACAGAACTTGACAATACAATGTATCAGCATCAAGAGGAGAGAAGCACAGGGTACATATAGACACAGAGAGACACAGGTGAACACATCAGGGCGGGGCAGACAATCGAGACAGGGGAACAAGACAGGAAGTCAAACCAAACCAACGGAGAGTCAAAATAAAACCAAAGTACAAAATAACACAAAATCCACACCATGACAGTATGAACACAGGAAGTCACCTTAATATAACAATGAAAATAAAAGCATGATATGACACATGTCTAGCCCCATGTCTAAGTTGTAAAAAAAAAAAAAAAAAAAACAACCCCAAAAATGTCAGCCTCTATTCTTTTTCAACATACTTTCCAATAGAGAAAACAAAAGTACATACCCATCATATTCTCTGGAAGACAGGTTGCTGGGTAAACTACACAGGAAAAAGACACAAACACGAGCAGAGCGTTCTCCATGACGTTTTGAGCTAAAACATTCTTACTGCAGCAAATGTCTCTCAAACAAAGTGACCTTTCTAAGGGCGACCTACAAGAGTGACTATTTTTCACTTCTCTACGACTCTTTGGTGGCCGTGACTGACATGCCAACAGCATCTCCCTCCCGACAGGATATGATCCGCACGATATTGGAGTAATCAGCAGGAAAAGAGTGTCTTTGTGGGGCTGAGTGCAATGTGCGCCACGCGTCAGGCTGATAAACTGTATCCACTCCAAAAGCCATAACCTCAAACAGCCTTGTGTTGAAATACTATAGGTGGAGGTAGCTGAGGGACTTTATGAATATATTTTACTTCAGAGCCGGAGACGCTGATTTTCTGTTTGCATGTGCAGGTGAAACTCTGAAAATTAGAATATTGTGCTGAAGACCTTGTACTTCTATAATTCAACTTACAAGGCAACATTTATATATGGATGACTCATGAGACAGTGAGATATGACAAGTCTTATTTGTTAGTGTTGATAATTAGCTCACAGTAAAAACCTAAATAATAGAAACAACTCAGAGCATCTGAATAAAATGGACTGTAAGCCATAACCATCAAAAACAAAGGCTTGGCATATGCCACTTTGTGCGTAAGGCATCTATTTTATAAATTGGTTTCACATTTTAAGATGCCTAGATAGAAATAAATTAACTTTTGAACAGTTTCACTTGTATTTCTCTGTGTGGGTGGGTTTCCTCCAGGTGCTCCAATTACCCCCACCACCAAAAACATGCACTGGACAACAACATCCTGTAGTACATCCTAACCAAGTCGAGCATGTGGAGATGGGTCCCCTGCATGGATCTATAATAATATCCCTGGGGCTACACTGTACTTACCACTCCAGCAGGTCGCCATAATGGCACGTTATGGTATACAATAAAGTATACCATAACCTTAACCAATTGAAGGTGATTAGAAAACTCTATAGCAATTTTTGTTTGAAAAGAAAATTTCTTTTTGAAAAGGAGAGATTGTCTGGGATGTCTTCAGCAGCATTGTGATGGCCATGGGCAGAAACCAGAACCATCAGATACTAATGACACACTTGGCAGGTGTGAAGAGGCCCCAGGTGTTAATGAACCAGGCTGAGAGACAAACTGTCATTTGGTGAGAACAAGTTTCAATTCGGAACTTCTGAGCACTAAGTACTGTAGCTATAGGAGACTAGTCACTTCTAGCTTCTCAGAGCACTTCTTCACATTGAAACACTCTAGACATTGTCCAGATGACTTATCGAAACCTATGTCTTTCATTAATTCGACCAGTTTACTTCAGCCCTTATACATCTGGAAATATTGAACAACGTTTAATAATTCCAGTCAAAATGAATGTATGCAATTTTGATGTTGGTCAATCCTCTGCTAAATTATTAATATTATTATTATTATTAATTAATCTTGTAAATATTTGCACTAATAGTAGTCTTATCGTAAATGTACAAATTGATGAATGGAGGGGCCAGACTACAAGTGCAGGTTACCCACTGAGAGTAGTCAGTGTGGACAGGTGCATTCCTGGAGCTGAGCACAAAGACTGTTAACGGACACATTTAACTACAAATGAATGGAACCCCCACCATCAAAACCCCAATGCCTTGTGTTTTGGTAAATTTGGTAAAACAAACTACTCTTTTGCAATGTACTAGCTGTGGCTCTTTGCATTGTGTTTTTAGATAAGCTGCACTTGATTAAAAGTGTGTCCACTCCTGAGTCACTCTCTGCGTGTAACTTGCTCATCTTTATGGAGATTGTCTTCCATATGGTTGAATATGTTGTGACAATCCATAACAACAAAACAAGTACGCAGAAACTTTTAAAGAAATTCTCTACAATTCTCTTGAACTGTCACAGCTTTAACATGCATCGGCAAGAGATCAGAACAAGGTGAGTTTGACAAAGCGAGAAAGTGATACACCGTGACACAAGTGGAGCCGACAGAATGAGTTTGGGGTTTGTGTCAGTGTGGGTGCTGAGTGCGGAGCCATGCACCCCAGGGCGACATGTCTTTACATCCTGTAATGTCTTTAATTAAGCCAAAGGTATTATCGGCTCCTCTGAGCACTATTACAGATTTTCCATAATTACCAGTGGGTGAATGGGGGCGGTGAGAGAAAGATATGAGAGAGGGATGGAAAGAGAGGTGCATTGTGGGTGTGTAATGACAAGGCAAACACAAATGAAAAGCGCTATAGAGGAAAGGGATAGAAAGATGTTAATGCTGATACAAATCTCTTACTCCTTGGCTATAAATGTGAGACTTTACTTTTTTAATGAACCCACGTCCGCAGAGCTAATATCTGTTAACTACGAGCTTCATTAGAGCTGCCCCCTGGAGAGAGAGGACAGGCTGGAAAAGGATGAGTGGACAAAAGAATGTGACGTGAGCATGCAGAGAAGAGAGGAGCATCAGCATGGGGCGCGGGTGAAGGGGAGAGGCAGGAATGTATACCGAGGAATTGTTTGAAAAGGGCCGGCAATAATGAGAAACAAAATAGCAGTCTAATGTATGTATGATCTCAATTAAACTGGTGCATCCATATTTGTATTAGCACAAATGTCTCACTGGGGAGGTGTACTGTGCATGTCCCAGAAGACCCTTGGGAAGACCCAGGACGTGCAGGAGGGACTGGGTCTCAGCTGGCCAGGGAACAAGATTTTCCTGGATGAGCTATGGAGGAAGTGTGTTTGGAAAGGAAGGTCTGGGCGTCTCTGCTCAGACTGCTCCCTCCCATAATGGATAAAGCGGAAGAACAGACATGGATGTATTGTGTGCACTTTGTGTCACCCCCGTCTGCAGAAAGAAAGACATAATGTGAATTATCTCTTTAATACTCTCAGACTTTCTAGAATATTTTCCTTGGAGAGGAACTTTCTTGAGACGAAAAGACACCTTTAAGCGATCCTATGAAAAATGAGATGACATATTGGTGACAGCAAGCCTCAAATTGGGGGATACTGTCACTTTCAACTGTCAGTATTTATCATCAAATTCCTTACGAGTGCACAAGGTAAGTTGGCATAAAAGTTGTGAGCAAGATAAATATGTATGAGTCTTCAGTATATTGTTTGATTTGTTCATTTCTAAATATTTTGGGGAGCTACCTGGTACCTGATCTAGAGTAGCGAACGAGACATCTTAGTTATGAAACAGGTATATGTTTTTGTTTCCTTTTTAGACCAATTTGTGATCTAAGAAAGTCCATATAGTGAATGTGATCAGGAAAATGTGTTTTGGTTTTGATTATACACTTTTAAGTAAAGCCGTAAAGGTTTATACATGCAGATCCCTGTGATGTAGGTTTATATAAATATAAAATGTCAATGTCAACATTTAAATGTATTATTTTGATTGAACAGGTAAAAATTATGTTCGAATGATTAAGCAGGCCTCAGGACTGAAACCATGCCACATCTATGTGAATGTATAATTTATTGGCCCGTGAGGATGTTTGTCCTTTGCATCAGCCCACACTTCAATACCACTGGTGCGACCTGTCAGGAGCAGAGAGCACTGGGAGTGAGCGGTACATGAGCCAAGCCTCTGCTGGGCTGGACTTAAGTTCACAGTAAACCAACTCCAACAATTGTAAATAGTCAAATAATATCTGGTCGAATAATAACATTCTGGTTTAATCCACCCAGATTTTGATTACCATTTATTATATAATATTTTGTGTCAAACGAGTTTGCGTTTTTTTGTATTTGTGTGGGTTGGGAAAATGAAATTGCAATTGATCGGAATGGAAGTATGGATTTATAAAAAATGGAAGTCTATTTATTAATACTGGTATATTATATATATATATATTTTTTTTTTTTTTATCTTATAACAACTTGATTGAGAATAGAATGTTTGGAACTGTACTGACCCTTACAGACACAAGATCATAAAACCATCTTCACAAAGTCTTGCAATGGAACCAACATGTGAGCATGTTGGTCTTTAATGACATTGTCTGACCTCTGATCATCATCAAACTCTGCAACAGGCGAGAAATGGGCCAATGCTCACAAAGCAGCAGAAAGGCTGTCAGGGCTGAGGAATTAAGACACACTGGGAAACTGTGTGACTTATGGAGATCTAATTACACTGGCTGTAAAACACTGGAGTATTAGGATTAGACCCAAACCGGATAATGCTTTTTGCTATGCTAGTATGCAGCTCACATCACAGAAAAATAGGGCAAAATGAATAGGAGGTTATTAGGTGCAGAGAGAGAGTGGCACTCTTTATCACAAAAGGCAGTGTGCTATGGAATGCAAATAGATACATGAGAGGCTGTTTTCCCGTGATTTGATTTTGCTGACTGCCACTGGCTTCGTACTTGGCGTAAATTAATGAATGTTTATTGATTTTGGCATTTGCAGGGGAGTTGGTGAGTGGGTTTTGATCAGTTTCAGCAGCAGGGGGCGCAGCTACCAGCCTTTTCCACACAGTCACTTCTGGAAAGACATCTTCCATGTAATTAAGTTGAATTGACACATTCGAGTTCATGTTGAGACAGACACGGGCTTTGAGAGTATGCAAATGAGACGTAGCAGCAGAATACTGTGGTCCAAGATTTATAATACACGTCTGTGAAAATAGATACATTAATAATTCAAGTGTACAGCAGGTATTATTGAGAGTATTTTACAATGACACAAGCATTGAAGTCATCTAGGTTTAAAAGCCAAGCATTTTAAAGTCGACGTGTGTTTTAGGCTCTATTCCCTATAGACACATGTACATTTGTTGGAAAAGATATGGCAATGCTGTGTTAAATTTCTTATTTTTTATTTAATTTGGTTAGTTTCAGCAGTGACTATTCTTCCTGGACTCCTCGTCATTTTTTGATCTAACCCACAATATTATTCAGGGACAAGAAACAAGCAGAATAATCTAGCAAATGGACTTGGAACCATGCTTAATTGCGATTTGTATTGTTTTGATGAGATAGCACATGCCAAAAACAGACCATGAACCAATTTGGTGACCCCCCGCCCTAAAGGAATGGAATAAACAATACTTAAAAAAAAAATCAATAAAAGAATAGTATTAACCTTCAAATTATCCAAGGGAAAGCAGCAACATCTCCAAATAGAGCTGAAAACACGTAATGGAGTAAGACAGCCCTTGTTTGGTCACTTTATCTACTTCACAATGTAGTAAATAGTGTGGTGTACTGGTAAATTGGCAAATACAGTCTTACTATATATATAAATAAAAAACACGTTTAACCCGAAACTATCCATGGGACCAAATGTAAACTGTAAATAAACACGACCAATTACCTGCAAACCGTGCGTAATTTCGATTTCAACTCGTGACCTCTAGGTAAATATGCTTTTCAACAAGTAGCCCCCCCTCCCTCTCTTTCTCCCTCTCTCCCTCTCTCCCTCTCTCCCTCTCTCTCTCCCCTTGCTCTCGTATTGTGCCTGGTCCTTAATAGGCTTTGGGGAACTAGCCGGTCCGCGCTGTGACGCTCCCAGACTGATGACATCACCCGCCAGTCAAGCTTCAAGTGGGACGTACGCGCTCTTCTCTCCCTCGTCTCTCTCTCTCTCTCTCTCTCTCTCTCTCTCGTAGACACACACAACTCGCCAAAAGCAACCGGGAACTAGTTGAAGCAGCAGCAGCGGGAGTTGATTTGACGAGGACCACAGCTTTGGAGGAACTGTAGCCATTCACCTGCGCGCCCGGACTGCCGCTAGGAGGACAAGGAAGCACCCGGGAACCGCGTCTGCCCCGTGCGTAAAGACGTGAGGAAAAAACAGGGAACTAGGTTTGTCTCTGCGAAAGCGTGTCTCCCCGCGGTTGTGTTTGTCCCACAAGAAGAATAAGAAGAGTCAAGTTTTCAATCTGTAAAAGGAGGAGACTTTTTAACCCCGAAGTGACTTAACTGCTGTCGTTTGAGAGCGCGTTTCCGAAAGAGGACACCGCCATGGAGGGACTTGTTCGCCGTAGATTTCTCGCTGGATGCGGTAGATTTCCCGCGGTAGTCTGCCTGCTTGTCTGCGCTCTTGCTCATGGTAAGTCCACCCTTTTTGTTTTTATAAACGTTGAAAACTTCGCTGCTTGTTATAATCACATATCCTAATTATGACGTTACTGGGGAATGGCAGACCAGGCGCAGGTGCACTTTGCTCCGGAAAGCTGAAAAAACAAATAGTTTTAAATTCAGTTGTGTATTGTCAGAATCGTTTTGTGTGTTCGTGCATTCGTCTTTACTTGCAGTTTGAGGAGTTAAATAATTGTTTTGACCAGAGTTTCGGTCAGTGTATGACTCAACACCATGTTTAGCCTGTAAGGTGTGGCTTGCTTTTTTTATGTTGCAAGGTGCCTCCTCTTCTCCTACCTGTTCCTAGTTTTATGTTACAGCCAGCCTGGTTTCTATTGAGTCACTCTCTGCCCCATTTATAGACTGTGTCCTTGGTCCCCTTTTTTCCCCGTAGGCAGCGCGCTTCTTCAGTCTTTTCTGTGCTGCGTCCTTCTGTCCTCACATCATCTTTGATTAGTTACACTTCACTTGCGCAAAATGGCACTGCGAGACCGTTGTTAATGTACAGACTTTAAACCGTGGGTCAGCTTCAGCCACTGTGACTATTAACCCTGCGCCGTTGTGTCATTTTATTGACCCAAGACGGATGTGAAAATGAAATGGATTTTGATTAAAAAGTTTGTCTGAGATCAACATGACGGATGATGACTTCGGGAAAAATCTTATTAGACGTCCCACTGAGGGCTTCATCACAGCAACGACAGGATTCCTGCTTTTGTCGAGCTGTTATTTGGATGTCAAGACAATAAACGTCAGCTTTTTTCTGTCAGTTTATATAGCTTCAATTTTATCCACAGGTGTCAAAAATCCTGTGTGGAAATGTTGGTTTTTGTCCCAGATTCTTCCAAAATGCTCTGTTCCTGTTGGGAGGTGTCTCTGTCCATCACTGTGGCATTCACTTTTGATTTGTGTTTTTGTCTGTGTGTGGATAAGGCGTTCAAAAACATGCATTCTGACTCATGGGACTTGCCTATCCACAGATCTAATGGACTATTGACATTTTTTTCTCATTGAAACGTCTCAATTGTTACCTGCACTATTTTGAGCCTAAACTCTTCTAGTTTATACATTTTGCCTCCTGCGATTCATTTTATTTGACATTGCAGTAAAACCACATTGGAATACATTTTCTAAAGCCCCCAGTGTGCACAAGACGACTACATACATAAAAGTACAGGAATAAAACCAAAAGTGCAGGAAACTATTGTCACTGTGAAATTGATCAACAAAAACATTTTCGCTACAAGTGCAAGATCTTTTAAAGTGCTTTGTTTGAACTGAAAACAGATTGGGGAAAGAATCTGTTAGCTAAACGAGATGTCTTGCATCCATATCTTCTGCTAGAGGGAAGAAGCTGGAACATGGCTTTTCCAGGGTGGCCAGAAAAGTATCCTGGTTGTACATGAATGAACAAAATATTAAAGGACATAATAAGCTCGGAAACATTAAGAAAATGATGAATACTTGTGAACAACTGCATGTGACTCAAAACTTGTAATCGTAATAATTCTACTTTAAATGTTATACCTGACAAAGCCCCCACTGAAAGATCAAGGCTATGCTCACACTCAGAGAGCAGCCGTCCTCCTGTGGACTCACCACCTGCAGAGGGTCAGTGAGGGGCTGGTGCTATGAGACTTGGGTGGCATCTCTGACTGCCACCCCCCTGACCCAGAAATGGATTAAAGGGTAGAAAATGGATGGATGGATGTTATACCTTAGAAGTGTATGCTGATTTTTATGTCTTACTCTATTCTCTATTCTTTACCTCTCTTTTCTGACTGACCAGTCTGTGACTTCCTGTTACTTACATGAAAATGATTCTGATTCAAAGACCAATGAGAAAAAGTGTATCTTTAGGATGTGAAACTGCTGCAATGTGCTTTTATCCAACTTACCCTAATGCAGAGTTGCATCATTTTGAATAGATGGTGTATTTAAGAGTAAGACACAGACATAGGCAATGAAAGAACACCAAGTAATCTTCCGTTTACACTTTATTGCTCATGCTAACCGCAGGACATTCCAAGCTCCAGTACAAGCAGATAAGGCAGAATACACAGTGCACCTGCTAAATTTCCTCAAAAATGAGATCATCTTACAAACAAATCCACTATTGCCAATATTTGCTGACAGAGATGGCTGCTCCCTGGTCTCCTGTTGTGTAAGAGGCATATTTATATTTACAACAAGGCGCTGGTGTCCTATTACCACATTCGAACAGGTGAAATTGAAGGTGTTTTCCAACGAGTATACCTTTTTTGCTCAGGTGTGCTCTCAGCAGGTGCACAGACAAGTTGGAACAAAAACCCAAAATGAAGGCAAAGATTCCTGGCGTGCCTTTTACCTCATTAACATATGAATGCGTGTGGCGAGGGAAGCAGAGCAACATTTTCTGAGCTCCCCTTACTAGGCAATAGCTATTTGTTTTGTGTTGTAATTAGGGCAAGTATGTAGGACTTGCACTCGCTGGCTGGCTCTGCTACAGTAGAACCATTTTCACTGCTTTTGGAGTTGATTGTTGCATTCTTTAATCACGGTTCGTAACGTAAGCAGGCTTTTCTCTTGACTTATTCATGCCACAGACCTTTTTTTTCTCATTTTATCGAACGTGAAGTGCTCTTAGGGGAGGGAGGAAAGCGGGGAAAACAAAAGTGAATGCATATTTATGAACTGAAGAAAAATGTGGCCATAATAGTGTTGCGAGCAGAAACTGTAAAATTTTTATTCAAGCTGATGAGTGAACTCTAACCTCCTTTTGGGTAAGCTGGTCAATGCAAGTGCTACTTTTTCTTCTTGGTTTGGCTTTTCATTATTCAGTCTTTTTACACGCTGACAGTAAGTACTAACCCCCACCTCTCATCTCAAATCTGAAAGTTAATTAAATTCTCTTCAAAAGTTTTCTATTTAAGATTTGACAGGTTTAGTGTGATTATAATGTAGGCTGAACTCTTTAAGATTATAAGCCTGTATACCCATGGTGTATGTTACCATTGTGCCTTTTAGACATTTAAGTCAGAGTGGAAAATTTAAATACAAAGACAACCTCGCAAACCGGTGGCACAAACACCTCAAAATGTTGAAATAATCATTCACTGCAAAACTTTCTCACTCTTGTATAGTTTGGGGAGTAATGAAAACAAATTGACATTGACATTACAAATCAAGCTAAATAATTTTTACAATGATTTGTGGACAAATTAGATGTATTACCTTGTTAACATGTTTTGGCTGCTGAGGTGTGAGCCATCTTCAGGTCTCAATAGAGAAATTTTGAATCCTAGAATTTTTAAATTTTTTTTTTTTTTTAAAGACTACTTTTTAGACAATAAATGCATATTTTAACACTTTTCAGGCTGCATGGTTTTCATATGAAATTGTTGTTGATGGCTTTACAGTTTTATTTTATTATTTTTTTTTTTTTGCATTCCGATTTTATCCTGAATTTTTTTACTCTTTTTTTTAATTTGTCTTGCCTCATACACAACTGTGCTATACAAATAAAGATTGATTGATTTGATTGCATTGAATTATGTATATGGAGGTTATTATTCCCCCCCCACCTGGAATCGCATTCAACAAAAGTGACACTCCAAAAGTTACAAACTATGACTTTAAGATACATCATCTTAATTTACCTTAACTTTATCCCATCTTCTGTAATGTATACTGAGACTGTTCAAAAACTTTGAAATAGTTGACCAATGTATAAACTATAGATAACTAAATAGAGCTTTTCTGTACTGAAACTATGGTTCGCCCCAACCCCCAAATAAAAGTTGTGAGGAGTCGAGGATGTGGGTCAGAAAGGCTTGTCCCGTTGCTATGGAGACGTTTTTATTAGAAGAGGGGAGGGGCTTCAGTGGGAAGTTTGGACGGCTATGGCTTTAGGAGGGGAGTTTGGACGGCTATGGTACTATTGTCTTTATGGCTGAGTAAGCTGCATGTGCGCTCGCCTCCCGTGGGGGTGCGTGGCATTCGGGGTCAGGGCCGGGGGAGGACACCCAGATACACCCCCCTCACAGTTCACTGTATTTAAACAGATCCTTTATGAATCACCATGCGGCCCTGAGATTGTTGCTAGTTTCCCACACATTTATCAGAGTGGTGACTAATGGTAACAAATACCAAGAACATTAGACTTTGAGTAAGTCATCTCTTACAGTAAAATAATGCATTTACTCAGAGTTTAAAGATGCCACAAAGGTACTGTGCTTTGAGCTGCCATTTAAGGTGATAATCTGGGACAAAGATGGGTCATTATGATACATCATCTTTAATATACATACTGATTTTAAAACAAGTCAAAATTTAAAACAGATTTTAGAGTTTAGTTAAGAACAGGTGAAAGCAAATGACTAGACAGTGGAAAAGGTAAACAAAGTTATGCAGTTGTGCTCTATACAATAAGGACATTGTTTCTTGGCAAAGTTCACCTAATTATTCCAGTGATTGGTCAGCGTTGAATTTTTATGCAAATGTTATTTGTGAATGATCTCTTAAAACCTCTTGGACAATACGTCTATTGTAGAGTCGTTTTTTTTCTAGTTGTTGGACTGTTGTTTTTGTTGTAATTGTCGATTTAAAAAAAATTCTTCTGTCTCTCAACCTGAACCTGTGACACTTGTTGAATGTGCACAAGATTTTAAAATACAAAACTGTGCATAATTAAGTCTAATTGTTCCACGTTTGACATGTGATTCCTATCAAACTGACAGGATTTCAATGGATAGCCAATTAGTTATCCTTTTTCATAAGCTAAATGCCAATGTATAGAAGATTTAATTGCATTTTCTTTATAGAACTGCATAGTTTAATTGCAGATTTTGTCAGTCACAGATAAGACCAGTGACAGGCCACCTCCCATGGTTCCCACTCATCACTCCCGCCTCAAATCCACCCCTCCCCCACCCACAGAATACACAGGGCCCTTGTGAATTTTTTTATTCTAAGTCTGGTGTCATTCCTGTG